TTCACAGTGAGGAGACTCCAGAGGTGGTTTATTTGCCTGCGTATCGACCCCGTGCGTCAGAGGAGACGCATGGTGTACATTCCTCCTTCCGTGGGTTGGGATTAAACCCACTGGAAAAATCTCCACGTCAGTGAGGGTGCCCCTGAGCAGAGTGACGTCACACACCGCAGTGTTCCCAGACGCATCTCTCGCAGGCTGAGGAACGTGCATGTCGCAGGCAGTGGGGGGACAGTGGCCGGGTCACATGTCTCTCCATATAACGTGCTGAAATTACTATATGGAAAGTAATCCAGCACTTCGCCCTGTTGCTGTACAATCAACATGTGTTGATTCGAACAGACAACAAAGCAGCGGCGGCCTACATCAATTGCCAGGGAGGGTGTTCGATCAGCGCAGCTGCTGAACACACATCCTACACAAGCCAAATGGACAGCGTTCCGTTGGTGTGTAGGGAAAAAGCCTGGACCCTGTTGGGCCCCCTGCCTCGTGCTGTCGTTCCTCCAGCTGTTGCTGGACAGGAATTGGCTTATAGCACGGTCGAAACATATGCTGCTGCCATTTCATCTTGCCACGTAGGTTTGGGGTCAGCACGGTGTTTAGTCACCCGCTGACAAAACGTTTTCTACGGGGAGCACAGAGACTCAGGACCTGTGTCATGCGCTTTGGCGCCTCAATGGGTTTCGGCTTTAGTGTTACGCGCACCGAGTAAAGCTCCATTTGAAACTTTAGATCAGGTCCCCCTAAAGTTCTTGTCAGCCAAAGTAGCTCTGCTCTTGGGCTCTGACATCAGCTAAAAGGGGAGTGATTTGTCGGCTCTCTCTGTGGCTTCCGTCATGTCTCCAGATCCAAGGAGATGGCAGTTTCAGCTGTTTTACGCCCTAACCCGGCTTTTATGCCAAAGGTGATCACAAGCTCTTTTAGAGTCGAGAGTGATACCTTTGGATGGCTTCTTTCCTCTCCTCACACATCAAGAGGAGGAAGCCACAATCTCATCTCCTCTGTCCCGTGCGCGTGCTGTCATGCTATGTTTGCACGCACGGCTGGCTTTACGCAGTTTGGTCTGTTTGTGCTTACAGAGAGCGCTCATTAGGGCAGCCTCTGTCGGCACAGCGCCTGTGACACTGGCTGTGTCACAGGCGTATTCTCCTCTGGGGTGGATCCCCTGGAGAACATCAAGCGCACAGCACCAGAGAATTTTCCTCCTCTACGGCATTGCACGGAGGAATGTCAGTGGAAGACATTTGCACTGCTGCATCTTAGTCTTCCCCCTGTTCTTTTATTCGTGTTTATTTGAGGGATGTCTCCCATTCCTCTCTGACACACTCAGTACCGAGGGTCCTGTCAGAGTGAGTAATGTCGGGGACTCAACTGCGTGCCCTCTCTCCTGCCTGTCGGCACTTAGAGAGCTGCCCTTTTCCCCCTCTTTGATCGTTTTAACAAGTGGGACGTTTAACAAGTGAGGACGTTATAACAAGTGGGACTTTGGTCTCTACTTTTATAACGACAGGTAGCCTATTTAGCCTACCTTCTTTCCCTTATGGAGATATTCATTTTGTAATGCTATATTCCCTGGGAATGTGATGCACCATTACGCATGGCGAAATGGACATGGGTTATTAATTGAGTAGATTGTGTTTTTGTGCTTCTGGTAACGGACGGACCAGTGGGGCGGTAAACTACATCCTGCTTCGCCCTTAACCCAATAGCGATAGCCTTAGGCAAGGCAAGGCAAGGCAAGTTTATTTATATAGCACTTTTCAACACAAGGCAATTCAAAGTGCTTTACAAAAAATGAAAGACATTAAGAAAAAGGCATTTAAAATCAGTCATTAAAAAGAAAAGCTAATAAAATAAACATTAAAGAAAAAATACATGGATAAAAGTTTCAGTGCAGTCTAAGATATGAATAGTTCAATTAAACATTAAAAGAAAAAGTACATGGATAAAGTTACAGTGCAGTCTAAGATATGAATAGTTCAATTAAAAGCAGCGACAAAAAGAAAAGTCTTTTAGTCTGGATTTAAAAGTAGTCAGAGTTGCAGCGGACCTGCAGGTTTCTGGGAGCTTGTTCCAGATATTGTGGAGCATAATAACTGAACGCTGCTTTACCATGTTAGATCTGACTCTGGGACAGAAAACTGACCAGCTCCCTGAAGACCTGAGAGATCTGGATGGTTCATAATTTAGCAGGAGGTCAGAAATGTATTTTGGGCCTAAACCATTCAGTGCTTTAATAAACCAGCAGCAGTATTTTGAAATCTATTCTTTGACACACAGGAAGCCAGTGTAAAGACTTCAGAACAGGAGTGATGTGATCCACTTTCTTAGTGTTAGTGAGGACTCGAGCAGCGGCGTTCTGAATCAGCTGCAGCTTCCTAATAGATTTTTTAGTGAGACCCGTGAAGACACCATTGCAGTAGTCGAGTCTACTGAAGATAAAAGCATGGACAAGTTTTTCCAAATCCTGCTGTGACATTAGTCTTTTAATCCTAGATATGTTCTTTAGGTGATAGTAGGCTGATTTAGTAACTGTTTTAATGTGACTGTTGAAACTCAGGTCAGAGTCCATGACTACACCTAGATTTCTGGCTTTATCTGTTGTTTTGAACATTGCAGACTGAAGCTCAGCGCTAACTTTTATACGTTCTGACTTGGCTCCAAAAACCATTACCTCAGTTTTATCTTTGTTTAATTGGAGAAAGTTCTGACACATCCAGTCATTGATTTGTTCAATGCACTTACTCAGTGTTTGAATTGGAGCATAGTCTCCTGGTGAAATTGTTACGTACATTTGTGTGTCATCTGCATAGCTATGGTAACTTATTTGGTTGTTTTTCATTATCTGAGCCAGTGGTAGCATGTAGATGTTAAAGAGAAGAGGCCCCAAGATGGAGCCTTGAGGAACCCCACATGTCATATTTGTCAACTCAGATGTGTATTTACCTATAGAAACAAAGTTGTTTCTGTCCTTTAAGTAGGATTCAAACCAATTTAGAACTGTTTCCGAAAGTCCCACCCAGTTTTCCAGTCGGTCTAGTAATATGTTGTGGTCAACAGTGTCAAACGCAGCACTGAGATCTAATAATACTAACACTGAAGTTCTGCCACTGTCTGTGTTTAAGTGGATGTCATTAAAGACCTTTACAAGAGCAGTCTCAGTGCTGTGGTTTGGACGAAAGCCTGACTGGAACACATCGAAACAGTTATTTAAATGCAAGAAATTATTCAACTGTTGAAAAACAACTTTTTCAATGATTTTACCTAGAAATGGGAGGTTTGATATGGGCCTGTAATTGTTCATTACTGAAGCATCTAGATTATTCTTTTTTAAGAGCGGTTTAATGACTGCAGTTTTCAGGGCCTGTGGAAAAATACCTGAGTGAAGAGATTTGTTTACTATATGAAGTAGATCTGAGGCCATGCAAGGCAAAACATCTTTGAAAAATCCTGTTGGAATAATATCAAGGCAGCAAGAGGAGGATTTCAGAAGTTGTATAATGTCCTCTAGGTTTTTATCATTCATCTGATGGAATTGTGTCATGGTGTTTGAATTGATGTTAAGTGGACACAGAGACAACACATTTGCTGTTCCTGATGCAGAGGCACTGACTGCTTGTCTGATTTTTCTGAATTTTGTCAGTGAAAAAGGCAAAATCATTGCACGCCCTGGTGGATAGAAATTCAGAGGGCTACTGACACTGGGGGGGTTAGTTAGTCTGTCGACGGTAGCAAACAAGGCACGTGCGTTGTTTTTGGTAATGATGTCAGAGAAGAACGATTGTCGTGCGTTTTTCAATTCCAAATTATAAAGGCCAAGTCTCACTTTATAGATTTCAAAGTGAACCTGGAGATTTGTTTTTCGCCACCTGCGTTCAGCTTTTCGACATTCTCTTTTTTCTGTTTTCACGCTCATGGCCTTTCTCCATGGAGATATTTTCTTGCCAGACACTTCCTTTACCTTAGTTGGAGCAATGGCATCTATAACATTTTTTATTTTTGAATTAAAATGATCTACTAGCTCATTTACTGAGATGTTAGCAGGGGCAAGTGTGGAAGAAAAATTCTGAGTAAACATTTCCCTAGTATTTTCAGTTAAATATCGCTTTAGAGGGCGAAGCCTACATGATGTAGAACTGGGGTTACGTACTGTAACCCAGATTCTATGAGTATAGGCGCAGCCCTCTAAGGTTCGGGCCCCAGTGGCTCCACGAATAGCTGAAGAAAAGCTGTTTGTGTGGGAGCAGATTGTCGGGCCTCCTTCCTATTTACACGGAAGTGAGTCCGTAGGTGGGGCCCACATCATAGGTGGGCGTGGATTAAGTCTGTCAGTGCTGCACACGTGCAGTGGGATTACCCAATAGCGATAGCCTTAGAGGGCTGCGCCTATCTCATAGAAAATGGGTTACAGTATGTAACCCCAGGTCTCAGTACTCTCTCTTTTTTAGAACCTTTTTTTAAGGGAAAAAACGTAGGGACCCTATTACAACATGTAAAGACAACCAACGAGAGAGCAGATTCAGGTAGAGTTTTCAGGTACAGCTTTTAGATGCGCAGCTCCTCTGTCTTGGAATAGTCTGCAAATTAAATGGAAACTAATCAACTGGTGCCACTAAATGTTTTTTAAAGCTCGGTTAGATGCTAGTCAATCGGAAGCTGTTGGTACCTGTTTATGTGGATAATTATGTAAATTATGCTGTATGATGTCCTTTTGTTGTTCTATTTATGTTTTTATGTTTCATGTGGAACTACTTGAGCAGGTCTCCCTTGAAAAAGAGAGCAATGATTCTCAAATGGGATTTATCTGTATAAATAAAGGTTTGAAATGAAATGAAATGAGAGTTTCTGAGGACTGTATGTTAGAATGCTGCTCTGACCCTTGAATTAACTGTAATAATGGAGAATGCATATGTTAAAGCAGAGCAGGAATGATGTGGCAGGCGCTCCTCCCTTTGAGGCAGGAGCATTTTAGATAAAATAGAGGAGTGTTGTTGGTGTTTTACCTCGAGGAGGAGCTGCAGGGCTGGGCTGGGCCTGTGGGCGGGTGGGGGGCTTCAGTCCCGGTGGGAGAGGGATCCCACTGGGAACTCTCTGTGGAAGAAGTCAGTGATATAGAATGTATTATCTAATGGTGGAACAGCAGGACACTTGTATGTTGTGTTGAAACAAACACAGTGATCTACTAACTGTAGTCCTTTACTTTTAAATGTATTTATCCTAAAATAACATTTTGCTGCCTGGTCTCACAGGTGAAGAAGAGAATACTCTGTTCAGCATGAGTCTAACTCCTGCAATTTGGGAAGTGCTGCCAGTAAAGGTCTACACTAACATGAGCTTAAAGGTCTCCTATTATACTATTGTTAGGCATATATTATAGGTCTCAGTTATAAAAATGTGTCTGAAGGTTGGGTGGGCGGGAAGTTGCCAGAAGTTCAACGTAAAGCCAACCCACATGTTAGTACTGTCTAGCAAATCTGGATCAATCAAAAAGTGCATTTTACATAATAAGTGACCGTTAAAACATTTTGGCCAGAGGATCATAACGTTCATTAATATATTATTACAATACATTACATTCTCCTTTTTGCCTTTTGATGTCTTGACATTGGCAGGATCGAGCAGGGACATTGGAAGAAGTCCTCTCTGAAAACAAAGGGCCAAACAAATCTGAGAATACATGAAATATTATATGAGGCTGAAATACAGTTAGACAACAAAGCACAGGATTATGCAGGGTTTTCACCAGCCCAAACCATAACCTATATTACACCAATTGGCTTTCCCCTCAATGTCTTCCTATCCTTGTCAGATCAGACCTCAAGGGGCTTGTAACTTACAGAATTACAAATGCCTTCATACATTTAATAGAACCAAATTATTTAAATTGAAAAATTGTGGTAAATCAAACATTTCTTTGGATGTTGATTTAGATTTCTGACCCAGTATTAAAAAAAAAAGTTAACCGTTCTACACACCTTTTATTGAACATCACAGCCTAAAATCATGATTTATTTGTAAAATGCTTCAGTTATCATCATCACACACATCATTACCAATTGCCACCACCTCTGCAGTATAAGCTATACGATGTATTCTCTATTCTTACCTGTCCATCATATATGACAGTTGCCATCCCATCCCTGTCTTCCTCGCCAAATAAAAACACCATGGCCCCGCCCGGCACCGTCAGCTGTTGAGGCCCTCGGGCCATGTAAGGAACTCGCATGCGCATGTATCGAGAATCCCTGGGAAATGAAAAGAAAATCTGTCATACTTACCATCAACAAACATTTGTACAGTATTGGTTGTTTAAAAGCTCAGGTTACTACTTGGATGTCACAAGATTAGGGATGGGTATCGAGAACCGGTACTAAGTCAGTACCGGTACCTGATTGACGGTGTTGGTATACCGTTAAGCCGCTCGACAAACGGGGCTGCTATCGGTGTATGAATTACGCTACTTCCTTAGTTTAAACAATTCTGGTCGGTTGGGAACCCGTGTGACGTATCCGGTTTGAGTACCACTGATTTGCCACTGTGAATGCCACTCGTCATCTCTCCTAACAGCGCTCTTATTATTGTGAGACTCCCGGGGGCAGACCATAGGGGCAGACGCAACATCTTGCTAGAAACAGCGTCTCAAGGCTTCTTAACATTTAACAACCTATTAATGATGCATACCCACTTAACGGGAAGAACTCAGCTAACAGACGATATTAACCATTTTACCTACACGGAACAGAAGTCCAACACCAAGAGTCTAAATCAACACTTAACAAAACGGGCTAACGGCTACTTTAGCACATATCTGGCAAAAGCGATATTTTCTATGTCATTTTATCGATTAATCCAATGTCTCTGTGTAACTTTAAAATGATTACTGATAATTCATCATTACAATTATAAATAATAAACGGATTATAATGGTTAGCCGACCGGAGCTTACGGTTTAGGAGGTGCACACGCAGCGTCTCGTTTTAACTGAATAATGGTCATATTTACATGGATTTATGAACTGCCCCTAATTACCGCCCACCTTCCAGAGACACACTGTCAAATACACTCATACCTGCTTGGTATGAAATTGAAAAAGTTACATTAAATAAAAATAAATTACAATAAAATGACTTTAGTTTAATCTTCACGTCTTGTAATCATGTCTATAATTTTGAGAACCAAATTATTGAAAATATCGATAAGAGTATCGAAAAATATCGGTAAAATCCTAACCATACCCATCCCTACACAAGATAATACTCACTGAGCTCCATCCACCTTGGGCTCATAGAAACCAGGTTTCTGTGGTGAAGACAGAGTGATAGTTGGCAAAGGGAGTGATTGACAACATCATCTTCATTCATACTGACACTGTACTGATTCTTACCTGCAGCCTCAGAGGTTCAAAGCCTCCAAAGTCATCATTGGGAATCATGGATGAAATCACCTGAAAGCAGAGCATCTCTCAGTGTAAGTGACAGGAGCAGGTTGGAAGCTCATTAAAGCATATTACTACTATAGACTGTGTGATTACTATACCCCCATAATACAACATTCACCAACTCTACCTTTGCTTTGCCCAGGAAGTCTCTTTGCTGCAGCTGCTCCACATCCTGTTTCCTGGGACGAAACACCACGTTGTCAGGCACCAGCAGAGGAGCCAGGACCTCCTCCCTCTGTTATCAAAGCCAGAGCAAAGCGTTCAAATGACAATGTTTGATTTACCCCAGTGGCTTCTCAAATAGAATATCAAGAAAGTCCCTAAAAGGAGCAGTACATTTGTATTTCCAGGATTGGAGTCATGTATGAACACTGTCATTGTTTTGCGAAACAGGTAAAAAATGGTATTAGAATAACCATTGCGTTACCCTTTGCCATGAAGACATACATAACCTTGAAAAGACAATCAAACCACCCCTTTACTTCCTTTAAAGTCATTCATGTTAAAACAAAATGTTCCATGAAAATGTGTTATAATTCATCCCTCGACTGTCCCTGCTGCCACGCACCTGAAACACCAGCAAAACCAAATGTAGCACAGCCTCAGATCGACTGTGTTCCAGGAAGTTTCCAAATGTGTCTTTCTATCCTTGCTAGGATGTCAACTATGGCAATGGCAGAAACAAATGTAAACACTGTGGCAATGTGTCCCTGAAGTCCCTCTCTAAAGTTGTGACACTCACCAGGACGCTGTCCAAAGCCGCCTCTATGTTTCCCCCCCGAACTCCTCCTCTCTCCTGGGAGGCTGACAGCAGAACCTCCCTGGCCTGCTCCCATTGGCCCATCCGACAGTACACAGCTGCTGCATTATACAACACCTAGGGAACACGTCAAAATTATACATTCTGGGACCAGCCGGTAGTATTTTCTTTTGACAAGGGATGTTGGGCTGGATGTAGAGAAAAGGCAGTTCGATATGACCGTTTGCAGACAGGCAGGATAGGTTAGAATTGTTTAAGCTAAAAACTACATTTCCACCTCTGGTATTCATACCACTTTGGCCACTGGAGTGGATTATGAGACTGTGATTATTCCTTTCAAAGAGGTTAATGTACAGACTGTACACACAATTAATGTTGGTGAGTTATCACTCTCTGCAGTCTGCACTATCTTTTTGTCCCTGCGTTCATTTAAAAGTTGAATTGTGTTTGTGGTTTAATTTGCAGCCCCAAAGATGATGACATCACAGGACTTAGAAGTCAGCCTCAAACACTGGCAACTCGACTTGGACTACCAGCTGCTCACGACTTGAGCCTTTTTACTTAAAAACACCTGATAGATTTTTAAAGCTGTGCCATTCAATCAGAGGCACTAAGTGGGGTAGTAAGTCGGGAAGGGGCACTTGGCTCCCCACTTTAAGGCCCTGTTCTGATTAGGCTAGTTTGATACAGTCACAAACGTATGTGTGTAACTCTTCTGTCTTACAAACAGCCGCCACCTACTTCTACCTCATGATAAAAATAAATTAAAATGATCAGCAACACTGATGGTGCAAATGAGATTTACAATGTACAATTTTGAGATACTTGTACTTTACTTGTGTATTTTCATGTAATGCTACTCCACTACCTTTCAGAGGTAAATGGTGTACTTCTACTCCACTACATGTATTGAATACCTTTAGTTACTTTACAGATGTGGATGAATGATATGAAATCTAATCAAGTGTTGAATCAGACTTTAGTTCCACCTGGAGTAAATCCACCAGCTACCCTGCAGTATACAAAGTCATTCAAACTAGCTGCACCTTCACCAGCTTTGAGAACACTTTCATGATCAATCATTATAAAACATATATATATATTATTCTGAAATGGACCAATCTGCACAACGACTACTTTTACTGTCTTTCACTATTTGATGAGAATACTTGTATACTTTTACTTGAGTAACATTTTGAATGCAGGACTTTGACTGACACAGAGTATTCCTACACTCTGGTACTTCTACTTTTACTCAAGTACAAGATCTGAGTACTTCTCCCACCTCTGATCAGGGGTGGATGACACTGACTGTGTGTTGAGATTCCGCAAACCAATGGGCACATTGCTTTTAAACCTTGGCTTTAAACACGTTATCTGTTACCGGCAGCTGTACTGTCTGTTGAAGCTAGAGCATGTCTTATCTGCACTGTGAGAAATATGTGATGTTGTGTAACCTCCATCAATGAGGCTTTGTTAGCATCCAGGTGAATGGGATGTTTGAAATAAACAATGGAGGTGATGACATAGCACACTGTGTTCATTCCTCAGTGGTGATAGACATAGGATTGGATTTCCTTTATATTCTATTGTAATGTGTCAGAAGAAGCATACTGGAGTCTCATGCTTCCCTGTATTAGTGCAGGTGTGTGTTGCAGTGTGTACGAGTGTGAGGCTGAATGTCAGACCTGCCAGCTGTAGAGTTTGAATCTCAGTCCCAGCTGTCTGTAGTCGATGACCGTGTTTCCTCTCATGTGCTTCTGTGCCCAGATACAGTCAGATAGAGCTTCCTCCAACCTGAGCAGACAGCAAACAGACCAACAGTCAGGGAATAAGAGTTCATTTTCTAAATGTGGCATCAACAAAAGCTTTACAAAAAAAAACATGGTGGTTTTACAGGGGTGTTGTGGGTCAGACTTTCTTTGTCACACACAGCAATTTGTTCTCCACTGGTTGCCTGGCAACCTCACAATGATGAAAAGTCTCCAGGAAGTGACTGCCAAGAAATAGTTGAGCTCATGAACGCCCAGAACAACATGCGTGACATACATGTTGATAATGAGCTTTGAAGTGCTGCTAGGTAGATGTGGTCACCTGTGGACACATCCTGGCTCACTATTTTCCTCTGTTTCAGTCACAATGCTGAGCTCAGATAACCAGCTGCATCTACAGTGAAGATAAGAGCTCCTCTTTCTAAATTCACACATGTTTCCCTCTTTTCTCAAAATTACAAGAGTATACATGGTCAGTATTTGGGACAGATTGCTCTGATAATCAAACATTAAATCAACCTACCTGTCAATCTGCATCATCACTGCTGCTCTCTGGAAGAAGCCGACAGCGAGACGTTCATCTTTGGCGATAGTGAGGTCTAAAGCCTGGAAACACAGAGACAGGTGGATGTTGGACACAAAAAGATGGAACTATATATATATATATCAAATCAAATCAAAATGTATTATAGCCCCAAATCACAAGAAATGCCTTAAAGGGCCGTACAAAGCAAACAAAAGCCAAAACAAAAAACTAAATACAAACGTCATAGCATAAAAATTATAAAAACATTATACATCAACATAAGTATTGCCATGTGATAAAAGCATGTGACTGAAGTGATGGTAATGTTGAACAGAAACTAGGTGATGGAAATTATTTTCCAAGGAAGACGGATGCGAATAGATGGGTTTTGAGTTTGCTTTTGAAGGAATCAACGGAAATAGCTTTGCGGATCTGAAATGATAGACGATTCCAAAGGAGAGGTGCTCGGAAGAAAAAGGCTCTGCCACCTACGGATGATTTTTGAATTCTGGGGATGGAAAGGAGACTTGCATTATGTGATTGTGGGAGCCTGGTAGATAATCGCAGGATAATTAATGATGATAGATATGGAGGTGCTAGTCCATGTAAGATTTTAAAGGTTAATAGTAAAATCTTGAAGTCAGATCTTATGTGAATCGGGAGCCAATGCAATGAAATGAGAACAGGGGTGATGTGATCACATTTCCTGGTTCTGGTTAATATTCTGGCAGCTGTGTTTTGCACCAGTTGTAGTTTGGCGGTTGTTGATTTTGGTAGCCCAGAGAAAAGTGAATTGCATTCCAACCGAGACTATGACATGCTTCCTTTTACAGTGTAAGTATTCAGCAGTGATTACCCACGGATGTTAGGTAGAAGTACTCAGATATTGTACTTGAGTAAAAGTAGAAGTACCAGAGTGTAGGAATACTCTGTTACAGTAAAAGTCCTGCATTCAAAATGTTCCTCAAGTAAAAGTAGAAAAGTATTCTCATCAAAATATAGTGAAAGTAGCGACAGTAAAAGTAGTCGTTGTGCAGATTGGTCCATTTCAGAATAATATATATGATATGTTTTATAATGATTGATCATCAAGTGTTCTCAAAGCTGGTAAAGGTGCAGCTACTTTGAATGACTTTGTATACTGCAGGGTAGCTGGTGGATTTACTCCAGGTGGAACTAAAGTCTGATTTAACACTTGATTAGATTTCACATCATTCATCCAGATCTGTGAAGTAACTAAAGGTATTAAATACATGTAGTGGAGGAAAAGTACACCATTAAGCTCTGAATTGTAGTGGGGTAGAAGTACAAAGTGTCCAAAAATGGAAATACTTACTTAAAATAGTAATAGTTAAGTAGAAGTACATAAAAAAAATATACTTAAAGGGGACCTATCATGCAAAATTCACTTTGTGATGTCTTTTATACATAACCCGGTGCGTCGGTGGGAACTCACGCAGCGTCGGAAAATAAAACCCTCTCTCTGTGGTTTGGAACAGGATGGCGTTTTATCACAGCAGAATTTATCTCCGGTAGAATTCTGATCAGGCATTAGCTCCGCCTCCTCTTTTTTTTTTCTTTTTTTTTTAAATCTAAGGACCCAACATCTGCATTTCTCTAACAGGGCTTCAAAAGAGGGGTATGAGCAGTATGAGGCATGGCTACAATGGGTGATGTGTTTGGTATTTTGAGCAAAAAACTTCACAGACATGTTTTGTATAGGTATGGCCCCACAATATATGTTTTCAATATAGCATAATTGTTCCACTTTAAGGAGGGATTTCCGCCGGACAGCTGAGCAGCATGGTCGCTTGAACAGTGAGCTCCCTTATGCCAACTGAATAAACTCCGCCTAACTTGAAAATTAAAACATAAAACATCCTGGACAGTTGATAATGAGCGGAGGGTCAACAAAAGCAAGGAATAAGAAAAGCGTGAACCGTCAAGGTAAAGAAAAAACTAACATTAACAAAGAAAAGGACAGGCTAACGGCAGAAGCTAGCACAGCAATGGCTAAACCACAAGCTAATCTGGACAGCATTAGCAAGCAAATCGAAGCCATGCAAAGTGAGCTGAAAACCGACTTGACCATCTTTAAGGAGGACATCGCCACTCAAATAAAAAACGAGCTGACAGAATTCAAAGAAGACATTAACCAGAAACTGGTAAAAATACACACAGAAGTTGGACAGCAAAATGATAAAATAGATGCCGTTAAGAATCGAACGGAGGAGTTTGAGCTGGAAATAATAAAAGAACACAAGTTTATGACTGAAAAGCTGGATGATTTGGAATCGAGATCCAGACGGAACAATTTGAGAATATACGGCATACCAGAAGATGCAGAGCTGAAAAGTGACACGTGACGATTTTTGTGGATAAATGGCTGCGGGACGAGCTGTCAATAGAAACAGATCTCCAGATTCAACGAGCCCACAGAGCCCTGGCACCGAAACCAAAATCGGGACAACCTCCGAGGTCGATCATCCTGAACTTTCTGCAGTTCCATGTAAAAGAGATGGTCTTGAAGAGGGCTTGGGAAAAGAAAACTGTCAAACTCGGAGATAATAGGATATATTTCGACCGCGAGGATACTGCTCCAACGCAAGCCATACGCACAAAATCAAAGAGGTGAGAAACCAAATCAACAACTTACTACATCAGGATATGGAGATAAAAGCAAGATATCTTAAACAAAATGATTATGAATTAGGCCCCAAAGCTACAAAGTTCTTGGCGAGCCGATTACGAAAGCAACAGGCAGCAATCAGTCAACAAATCAACCTAAATATGAACCCAAAGAAATTGAAAATATTTATAGAGATTATTACAAAGATCTTTACATGTAAACGTCAACAACAAATGATATGTGTACAAAGTCATTCCTAGACTCACTGGATCTACCCTCTATAGGTAAAGTTCAAAATGAAAGTATAACAGCAAAGATAACTATAGATTAAATCCATAAGGCAATCGGAAAACTGAAAACAGACAAAGCTCCAGGTAGTGATGGATTCCCATCTGAGTGGTACAAAGAACTAGAAAAATAACTGTCTCCACTGCTACTAGGTGCCTTTCATTGGATCATGTCAAAAGAGGATACTCTCCCCTCATGGAAAGAAGCAATTATTACAGTTATCCCCAAACCACTAAAAGATAAAGAATGTTGCCAAAATTATAGACCAATCTCAATTCTTAATGTTGATTACAAGCTCTACACTACGATACTATCAAACAGGCTACAAACAATAGAACCAGAGCTCATAGATGAGGACCAAACAGGCTTTGTTTCAGGTAGACAGAATAATATCAGAAGAACGTTACACATCATACATAGAATACAACATTTAAAAATACCAGCAGCACTGATTAGTCTCGATGTGGAAAAAGCATTTGACAGGGTCAATTGGGAATTTTTATATCTAACATTAGAGACATTTGGATTCAGTAATAAAACAATGAAATGCATCAAGTCTATCTATTTATAACAAACCAACAGCTGGAGTTCAAGTGAACGGCTCACTAACAGACAGATTTACATCGGAAAGAGGAACAGGGCTGCTGTCTCAGCCCTACCCTGTTTGCTCTATATATAGAACCATGAGCCCAAATGATCAGACAGGAAAGTGCAATAGCCGGAATAGACATTAGTCAACAAAAACATGTTAGCCTTTTCGCAGACGACGTCATGATCATGCTGAAAGATCCAGTAAGCTCCTTTTATAAAGCTAATATTCAGGATACAAATTAAACATATCTAAAATTCAAATCCTTATGTTTAACTGCGCTCCAAATAAAAAACTAAAATAATTCAATTTAAACTGGGAAGCTAATCAATTAAATACTTAATAAACATAACCAAACCTATAGCAAAGCTGTACGAACGCAACTATGAATGTATTGACAAAGATATAAGGAAAGATTTCAAAAAATGGTCAACTTACCCGATGAGTTTTATTGACAGGATAAATACAGTGAAAATGAATATTCTACCACGCTTGTTGTATTTATTTCAATCCTTGCGATAAATATACCGCAGATTCAGTTCCAAAGCTTATATCGAGATTCATATGGGGGGGGTACAAGACCTAGGATAAGATATACCACACTGCAACTGCCTAAAGAAAAAGGGGGCACTTCCAAACCTAAAGGAATATTATCATGCAGCACAACTACGTCCTCATTTACTGGTGCAACTCGGATTATAAAGCCCGCTGGAAAGACATTGAAATACTTACATATGAGTCCCCAATTCAACCACTCATAGGGCAAAGAGAAATGCCTTCCCATATGACAGAAAAGGGAGACCTAGACCCAATAACAACATTTACACTAGAACAATGGCATTCTATGATTAAACAATTGAAATTGGGAAGGGAACTTGGACTATTAGACTGGATAGCCTATGACAAAGGATTCAAACCAGGAAGCTACTGTATGACTGGAGATTCAAGCAATGGACAGAACAGGGTTGAACAGCATATGCACGGTCATCCAGAAGGGAGAAATGAGAAGCTTTCAAGACCTGAAAAACCTCTTTGACCTAGAGAACAAAGACTTATTCAGATATATGCAAATGAGGGACTACTATACAAAAAAGGTTAAGAAAAATGAAGATGACATACAACCTATTGTAAAGATGATTGCACGAGCTTACCATGATGATGTTCGCAAAGTTGTGTCAACCCTGTATTCGTGCTTGATGGAAGCCAACAAAGATTCAACACTATGGAAAAACTAAACTAAACGAAAGGATCTCAGATGAGATGTGGTATGATATGTGGAAAATGCACCAGACCAGACACAGTCACACGGATGGAGAGCATTTCTGTGGAAAAACCAAATTCGTTTCTTTAACACACCCAAAATCACTAGTAAACAAACAAACACTCAGCAATCATGCTGGAGGCTTTGTAAACATCTGGAACCTCACCATACACATGTGTTTTGGAGCTGCAGTAAAATGCAACCTTTCTGGGACTGTGTACACTCTGTTCTATGCAAGGGTTAGGCTATAGAATCCCCCGAACCTGTTTGACATTATACCTGGGACACATGGAAGGATCTGTACATGTCGGAGATCAATACCTGATCAAGATCCTATAGCTGCTGGAGAGAAGGCTATCACTAACAACTGGCTAAAGGCGGAAACACCAAGCTACAGACAATGGGTTCATATTATAGGTGATATCCTAATAATGGAGAAAATCACATACAAGTTGAAAGTAATGGAAGACACATTTCTTAAGGGCTGGGAAAAATGGTTACGGTACATATCAACAAAGGAGTAAAAAAAAAAAACAAGCAATATTTGATAACTATGTAGATCGTCTCCGTACAGGCAGTGTTCTCTCTGAAATGTAATATTTGTTTGTGTGTAATTGTACCTTGTGAATAAATCAATACAATAAAGTTTATACTGAAGTACAGTACTTGAGTAGATGTACACCACTGTGTATAATAAAATAGTGACAGACAGTTGGAACCACTTTGAAGCTTAGTGTGAACATGCAGACCTTCAGGGCCAGGTGCAGCTGCCCCAGCATCAGGTGGGCTGAGGCAGTGTTGAACAGCGTGCAGGAGGTGGGCTCGCTGATCTGCTGCAGCTGGGACAGAGCCCCCTCCCAGTCCTGAGAGTCGGCCCTCTGCACCGCCCCGTCCCACAGCCCCAGCAGCTCCGTGTACAGCATCTGGAGGAGGTCACAGGGTACACACACACACAGGTTACATGTTACACACACAGGGTACACACACACAGGTTACATGTTACACACACAGGGTACACACACAGGTTACATGTTACACACACAGGGTACACACACACAGGTTACATGTTACACACACAGGGTACACACACACAGGTTACATGTTACACACACACAGGGTACACACACACAGGTTACATGTTACACACACAGGTTACATGTTACACACACAGGGTACACACACACAGGTTACATGTTACACACACAGGGTACACACACACAGGACACACACACACACACACATTGCTGTGTGCTCTGGGGGCCTCATTTATAAACTTGACAGGAAAACGTGCGGTCCTCCACGCAAACTCTAACCCATGGGTACGCACTAAGCACAACAACGGGAGAGACGAGAAACTGCGACACCGTTGGCAGAAGGAAGAATGGAGAGAAATATGTGGAAATAATACCATCAATAAAATGTTACCTCATTTATCATATATGAAGAATTCATTTTCAAACATTGATTAAAGCCAATCTTAAAATGATTTAACAAACGCCTGTTTGAGACTCCACAGTGCACACAAACACATAACTTGGAGAAATAAATAAATACGGATATGTTATTGAAAACCACCTCGAATATGTTGTGTTAATGTTATGAAATGTTTTCTCATAAATGATGCGGTAAGCAGGAGGACAGAATTACTTTAAACTGACGCCGTGTTGCATTTCTATAGGTTGTAGATACGAGCATGGTTTTATATACTACCATGTTTATGTTTATTAAGGATTAGCTTTTGCTCTTGACAACATCTACTCTTCCTGGGGTCCGACACTTAAAACAATACAACAATAATACAGCAACATTCAAGACATAAGTCCTGACATCATTAACAACATTAACAACATCACCAATATTATCAACAATCTCTAACATCAACAATGTCATCCACTTTCAATATCAATCTCAGCCAAGGATGAGTGCACAAGACACCCACCAGTATGCTGGTGCAAGTATGCTATCAAATTCAATGAGGGTTCACAGCTCACAGGGTACATGGTCATCAGTAGTTGGCCCTTCAATCTCTTCTTGAAAGAGGCTCTGGACTCTATTTCAGCAAGGTAGTTTGGCAATGAGTTCCATTCCTTTATAGCTCTATAAGACACAGAAGAGTTCAGAAGATGTGTCCTGGGTTTAGGTGCCAGTAGATGGCCTGATGTAGCTTGTCTAGTCTTATGGTCATGCTCGTCTCTTGTGTAAACTATTTGATCATACAAATACAGTGGTCTTTTGCTAAATTGGACATTTTTTAGAAAAGTGATAACACCAGATTGCAGACGTTTCTCAACTGGAAGCCGTGATAGGCTTCTATGCATAACTCCAATATGAGTGTGCTTCGAACAGTGGAGAGCTAGTCTGGCAGCCTTGTTTTGAGCTATTTGTAATTTCTGTAAATGTGTTTTTGCTGCTGATGACCATGTGACCGGACAGTACTCAAGATGTGACAAAACCAGAGACTGAATGACTTGTTTCAAAGTGGTTGGTGTTACATACTTTGTACATTTTCTCACCACAGCTATGCTCCTTCCCATTTTAGTTACGATACTGTCAATTTGCTTTGTCCACCGTAAACCAGAATCAAGAACAATGCCAAGCAGCTTAGTCTCGTTTACCTGTTCCACTGGCTGACCAGCCAGCATCAGGCTTAATGAGGATTGCTGCTTAACATATGTCTGGATCCGAACACCATTGCTTTTGTTTTTGCAATGTTGAGTACCAGTTTGTTATTGTTGACCCAGTCTGCTATGGCTTTAATCTCTATTTTAAGTAGATAGTTTAACTCACTGCATGTTGATGCTGTACTGTACATTGTGGAATCATCAGAATACATTATTACACTGGACTTATTTAATACGTAAGGAAGGTCATTTGTGAATATAGAATACAACAAAGGCCCAAGCGAACTCCCCTGTAGGGACCCCACACTGCAACACCTTACTTTCAGAAAAGCTCCCATTGAAAAAGATTCGCTGCCTTCTCCTAGTCAGGTAGCTCTCCATCCAACACATAGCAACAGAACCAAAGCCAGAGCAACAGAACCAAAGCCAGAGCAACAGAACCAAAGCCAGAGCAACAGAACCAAAGCCATAGCAACAGAACCAAAGCATTTGAGTTTGTTCAGCAGCAGACTGTGATCGATCACATCGAAAGCTGCGCTAAAGTCTAACATCACAGTTCCTACAAGCCTCCTATCATCCATGCTCTTTAACCAGTCGTCGGTCATTTGTGTAAGTGCTGTACTTGTAGAGTGACCATCTCTATAGGCATGTTGGTAGTTCGTTGTCAGATTGTTACTTGAAAAGTAGTATTGCATTTGGGTGTATACTATTTTTCTATTAATTTACTTAACACTGGGAGGAGACTTATAGGTCGACTATTGGAACCAGCAAAGGTTTTTCTTTTATCCTTGGGTAATGGGATGACCTTGGCTTCCTTCCAGATCTCGAGTCACAAAAATATGACTCAATGGCTTGGAAATGTATTTGGCCGTCATTTTGAGCAGTTATACCATCCAAGTTGTCAATCCCAGGAGATTTATCATCGGACAGATGTAAAAGCATTTTCAACATATTCTTCTGTAACATTGTGGAATTCAAACATGCACTGCTTTTCCCTCATGATACAATCTTTAATGATGTGATGTGACACTGTGACCTTGACTGCACCCATGGCATTCCTCAGCTTGTCTACTTTATTTGTAAAATAATCGTTAAAATGATTTGCAATATCTGCTGGCTTGGTAATGAATTTACCCTCGGTTTCTATAAAGGAGGGATGCATGATTGAGTTCCTCCCCATTATGTTATTCAATATTTTCCATCATTTCTTTCCATCATTCGTAGAATCACTGATTTCCTGCATGTAGTATTCCCTCTTTCTACATTTAGTCAATTTGGTTACCGCATTTCTTAGTTTACAGTAATGTTGTTTGTCACATAGAGAACCTGTTCTGTCTGCAGTTTGTTTAGCATCATCTCGTTGGACCATTAAACTTCTCATCTCGTCATTCAACCAAGGTGCACACTTTGACCGGGCAGACCATTTTCTCATAGGAACATGCTGATCGGCAATCCCCATGAAAGACTTCATAAATACTCCAAGTGCTTGTCCTGGGTTTTCCTCATGGCAAACATCAAACCATTGCACATGCTTTACCTCCTCTACAAATTGTTCCTGATTAAACCCCTTATAAGACCTTTCATAATTTATCTTGGAGCCAGCCTTAGGTATTTTGGTCTTGCGTACTATAGCAACTAGATTATGATCACTAAAGCCAACTGTGAGTGACAACACTTTAGTGCAGTGCTCTGGCCTGTTAGTATGTGGTCAATGCAGGTCGTTGTAATAGCCCCATGTTTATTTGTATGCCGTTTGATAAGTCGCTCTTAAAACACAGGAGGTATGGAAACTAAGAACACCATTTGTAGATCTGGCAGCTGATATAACATAACACATTAGTTGTATTTCCTTTAACTGGTGGATATAGAGTTGCTGCAGTGGAGACGCTGCACACAGCTGATCGACAGCTGGAACACGAAACCACTCCAATTAATTTAATTTAATTAATTGACTCCACTCCGCAGGGATCCCCCGATACTTTCTTACAGTTACAGTTATTATACAGTTACTTTCTTGCTGCCTGAGGAAGTTTATGTGTATTTTGTCATTAACTTTTTTCGGACCACATATTTATTTATTTTGGTGACGATCCGACCTCCATGCTGCTACTCTGGTTCAAACTGCATCCACCAAACAATATGATTTGTCTCCACCTTCCCAAAATAACCAAAATCTGACACGGTGAAATGTGTTTTTGTAGCTGTTCTGCCGTCATTTCCTGCGATCTTCTTCATGCAGTCAGTCAGAATGAATATTAATACGGGGCGTTTCTTTGACTATTTATAGGCAAATATAGGCGTTACGTGAAGCCCGCAAAAACTGCGCCGCATTTCGAGTTGATTGTGAAGGGAAACCGGCGTAGGACGTGGTGCATGAGCAGTGTTTTACAAATCGGAATATTTGTGTGCGTATTTATTTGCTGTGTCCTAAGCCACCTTCCCACGTGAATGCTACGCAAAGTTTTATAAATGAGGCCCCTGAACTGTGGAAGATAAAACGGGTTCCAAGTCTGTATTTTTATTTGTAGTGAGTGAAATGTTGGACTTAAGTGACATAGGCTATATGCTAAATAAAAGACTTTTCAGTTCCACTTAAATACATATATGTATCCCTTTAGTATTTACATTGATTCTCTTGAATTGAAGTTCAGATTAGATACATGTAATACAGAGACTTACTAATATTAACACAAACAAATAACAGGATAGGAAAGAGAGAAACCTGAACAGCAGTGATGTCATCAGTTACATTCTGTATATTTAACTGGAGTACTTCCTTGTACCTGACCCAGACCCTGCACATGTTTTCACCTCAGTTACTACCAGCTCCATAGTTTATCTGAGAAAGGTCAAAGACCCTCCATTCACACGGCTTACCTCTCTGTCCTGAATGTCTTGTGAGAGTTCAGTCAGTGTCCAGCTGTGCCTCGTAGACTTCACACTCCAACAGGAAGTGAGTGTGAGTGAAGCAGGCCTCCTGAGCAGTCTCCACCCTGTTGCTACAAGGAAGTACTCCATCCACATTCCCCAGGTGTGACCCAGGTCTGGAATTCACCTGTCACTGTGGCAGTACTCAGCTCTGCCAACATGAGGCCCAGCCTGGGAATACACCCTTTAACCCTCTAACCCTTTTAGAGGAAACGTCATCAAATGTAATTTATGTTGACTTTTTCCTGGATTGTTTAGTTTGTGAGCTTCTTATTGTTTGTATACTAAGTAAGGAAGAGTGGCCACACGTGAAATATTTCCCAGAATTCAAACTTTTTTATAGGAATTCTGACATATTTTCTCAGAATTCAGACTGAAAAAGTCAGAATAAAAAAACTGTCAGAGCACGCGACTCTTCTGTGCGTCAACCGAGCAGCAGGTGTCGCTTTTCTGTCTTCTGCTGATAGCTCATGTGTTCCATGTTCCATCGTGTTTTTAAACACTGTGTAATAAAAAACGTGTCTAGGACCACAAATGTTTTTTAGGCCTATTGTTAATGACAAACGGTATATTATAGTGTGTTTATGTGCGTTTTTTTAATCTGTATTCGAGTATTTTTGTATTTCATCTTACATTTTATTTGGTGCTGCATTTCATATTTGCTCTTTTCTGTTGTGGTAGTTCAACTGCTTTAAATGAAAACAATAAAATATTCGATTTTACGGGGCGCAGTTAAACGCACCATAGATCATAACAAATGCGTCATGTGACACATACATTACACGCAGGCGCGGTGAAACCCAGAGCAGAAGCTTCTGTAGCCGGTGTGGAGTATGAGCCCGATGTTAGCTGTGTTCACGGCGACCCTGCTCTGTGTGGGGCACAGCCTGCCGCTCTCTTTCCAGGTAACAGTGTACGTGATATACATATTTAAAATACACATATATGTGTGTGTGTTTCCTGAAACATCAGTTCCCCTCTGGAGGAAGCTCAAGTCGGGAGTCACGTGTCCCCTACTTCTCGGTCTGAATGAAATTATTTACACATTTCTAATGTTCTGCTTTAAAGTGACAAACGATGCAAAACGTATTAGAAGGTGTGGAGTATTTGAGTGTGGAATGTGGATACTGGTGTAAAGCACAATTGGGTTTCAGTGGTGAAATGTAACAAAGTACTTTACTGAAGTAAAAAACGTAGCTACTAGTCGCTTAATGCTACTTTATACTTTTACTCCACTACATTTTGAAGGCAAATGTTGAACTCCTTTACATTTATTTTACAGATTTAGTTACTTGTTACACTACAGACTGAGGTTGTTAATAACAAATATATATCAACTAGTTCAATATCATATATTAGTATAGGTTAGTTAGGCTACCCAGTATAAGTAAAGAAACCCCACTTTTACCAAGATATGAACAAATGAATGCATCAATAATTATAATATATGATATAATAATTTCACAAATATGCTGTTTAAATGTGCTATTATACATAACATACTGAACATTTGTTTTGATGCCAATACTTTTATACTTTTACTTAAGTACATTTTAAAATACAGGAACTTCACTTGCAACCGAGTATCCTTACACTGTAGTATTGATACTTTTACTTAAGTAAATAATCTGAGCTCTTCTTTCATCTCTGGTTTCACTTAGTGTCACGTTAAGCCCTATAGAAGAACGGAGATGTCAAAGTTTTAAACACAGGTCTCTTTATGATCGTTTTAGGACCAGATAACTCAGTTTAATGTGCGCTGTACATTCATTTCCATAGTCAAGAAAACATGATGGATTCCAGACTGAAGGCCAGTTCACAGAGAAGTATTTCACTCAGACTCTGGACCACTTCAACTTCAACAGCATGGGGAATGGAACCTTCCAGCAGCGATACCTGATCACAGGTCAATCCACTTCCCATGTTCAATGTTACACATGCTGCGTTCATGAGCAAATGACTCATTGTGTTCTTTTTTTCCCTCTCCTTTAGATAAGTACTGGAAGGAAGGCTACGGCCCTATTTTCTTCTACACTGGCAATGAGGGAGACATCTGGGAGTTTGCTGCTAACTCTGGTTTCATCTCAGAGTTAGCAGCACAGCAAGGTGGCCTGGTCATATATGCAGAACATGTAAGGACAAAGAGCACAGTCAAATAAAACCATATTACATCTGTATATTATTGACTGAGCTCAAAGTCAGCTTCCCAGTTCATGGGACTGAGGAAATAAGGAAATGGATGGTTCAATTTTGATAATACTGTCAGCTGACTTTCAGCCCCCACAACTTTCCAACCACAATGATGTCTTTTTCCAAAGCAGTTGTGAGCTGGTGCAACGCAGTAGAAACAAAGAATTGTGTTGCTTTCGAGGAACCTCTGTTCAAGGCCATGTTTCCAAAAAACATTTGAATCAATATTTTCTTAAATGTGTAATTTTTCGTAACCCCATTCAAAGTGAATGGGAAGCGTCTCCATTGAATGAGGTGACGTCAAGCTTTGCCGAACTGCATTGTGGTTCCGTTGCTCGCTTCGAAAGATGAGAAAAGTTTAACTTTTCAAGCGTGATGTCCTTCTCTGGAGATACTCCAGCTCTAACGCTGCCTCCATTAACCCCCCCCCCCCTGCAGAGGTACTATGGCCGCTCGCTGCCGTTTGGCAAAGACTCCTTCAGCTCCCCCCAGGTGGGCCTGCTGACGGTGGAGCAGGCGCTGGCGGACTTCGCTCTGATGATCTCTGAGCTGAAGCAGCAGCTGGCCGCTCCGCTCTGCCCTGTCATCGCGTTCGGAGGCAGGTAGGTCCACACAGAACTATTCTCCCAGAGAAGGTGAAACATGAGCTTAACTTGACCTAATGATCTGGCATGTGATGTTCCTTTAGAATGGTCCCCAATGCTTAATGAAGAAATGTAATAATCATAATTGTATGAAAATGGTTTATTTTAGACATGCTCCTGCTGGTTATTGGAGATGAGATATAAAGAGCCAACAGTAAGGCGTTCAGAGGCGGATAAGATACAAACGATATGAGCCTTTATCTTGTGCTTTCACTTTTCTGGAGTATGATTGTGACTGAATGAAAAGTTAACTTTTGTTTTGTTGATCAGATATTAGTTGTATTAATATTCACTTAATCTTAAACCAGACAGGAAATACACATGTTGTTCTTATTGGCTCTCTTGTTTGTGTCTCCTCTCCCTGCAGTTATGGAGGAATGCTGTCGGCCTACATGAGACTCAAGTATCCCAACATGGTGGCGGGGGCTCTTGCTGCCAGCGCCCCCGTGCTCTCCACTGCGGGGCTCGGGGACTCCAGACAGTTTTTCAGAGACGTTACAGCTGTAAGTGTTTATGTCCTCAACGTGTGATGCAGAGAGACACATCTACTAACTGTGAACAGTCTAGCTCATAATGTGTGAATGTACGGCACGGCAGGTTGGATACTGAATGCACCTCTGTTACTCTTTCAAAGGATTTTGAGCGGGTAAGCCCAGCGTGCAGAGATGCTGTGAGAGGAGCGTTTCAGCAGCTCACAGAACTGGCTCAGCTTCAAGGTACTGCTCTGCTTTCTGAACAGAAGATGGCTGAATGACTGTAGGCAGAAAGGATTGTGTTCTATTCAAAGTATTACAGTATATTATAACTGTAGTGACTCTGAATAAGGAATGAAAAGCCACTGCTGTTGATTGAACAGATTACAGTCGGATCCAGTCGGAGTTCTTCCTGTGTTCCCCGCTGGCGTCCTCTCAGGACATCCAGCAGCTGTACGGCCTGCTGAGGAATGCCTTCACTCTGATGGCCATGCTGGACTACCCCTACAGCACCCAATTCATGGGCAACATGCCTGCCAACCCAGTCAAGGTAACAGCTGATCAGCAGCAGTCTGAAGTGCCACATCACTAATATTCAAACATGTGTTTGTAAACGGAACAGAAACCTATAGTCTAGTTGCCAGTTTAGTGAACCAGGAAATGTTGAGTACCCCCAACTTGCATATGTTGGGCAGTTTGCACAATTAGCACAAGTTGTGTTTATTAAATGTAATGGCATTATAGCCTATGTAGACTATAGTTAAAAAATGACTTGGCCGATTTGACATTCCACTTCTGACATTTTTTGTATAAAAAAATGGCAGTTTTAACCAGAAAGTGGAAATATTTGTACTCTTTGGGCTGATTCTCACTACCAGTGTTGCAACCATTAGATATAGAGCGCAAGATGAGCAGTGTTCACTGTGGACAATTATTTTTCAAATAAATAAGCAATATTCCCAATCAAAATGATCCAGAGTCCCCTAAAACATTGTCTGGTTTAAATTACACTTTTTGTATACTTATAATGTCAGAAATGGACTCAGTATCTTCAATTACCCCCAAAACCACTCCAAAGTTGTCCAAATCGACGAAGCCATTTTAGTAACTATTAGCTATTAGTCCACATCATAGGCTATAATGGTAATTCATTTGAATAAACACAACTTATGCTACTACGTTTCCGGGTTCCCTACACTGAATGACTCTATGAGCTGCAGACTTTTATGAAGGCTACTTTTCATATTCAGCCTTCCCAAACCAAACCAGATATTCAAAACTGCTGCACATTAATATCAAGGAAACAAAATATGATTCTTTGAAACTGCAGAATAATGACACTGTAAATATATGAAATGACAGATCTGCAGGGTAAGCAAAAACAAAATAAAACAATAATTGCATGCATAGACATAGAATATAAATATCTGTAACAATATAAATATAGAAATTAGTATAAATAAGCAGAGATGACCAGAGTGACACGAGTTGGGATCTTTGCCTCCTCTCAGGTGGGCTGTGAGACCATGCTCAGTGGACCGGACCTGCTCACCAACCTCAGGAACACTGCAGGTACACACACGTGAAGCACAGCATCGGAAACTCAGCATCTGCTTACATCTTCTAAAGAAGCTGCTGTCACAAACTCTCCAGGTGTCATCAGCTGCATTTCATGTAACTAGACAGCAGGGGGCAGTGGTCCGCTTCGTAGAATTCTTACTCATGTTGTTGAATTGCTGGACTGTGTTAATAACCTCCATTTCATTCTGTCACTGATGGTCCGCCTTCCTTTCATGCAGGGATTGTGTACAACTCTACGGGGGGGCTGAGCTGCTTTGACCTGTACACCCTGTATCTGCAGTGTGCCGACCCCACCGGCTGTGGGCTGGGTCTGGATAGCCTGGCCTGGGACTATCAGGTACTCCCCCCACCCAAACACACAGCACAGAACAAGCAGTGTAGAATAATAATATACAGGTTAGTGTCAGTCCATCCTCTCTGGAGAGTTTAAAGTTCCAAACCTTAACAATCCTCAGTCAGAATAATGATCCTGGCAGAATCTTTTTTTTTTCTCCACCTCTTTCACAGAAGAAAGAATGGAGGTATTAAGAAAAAATATCCTGGTTAAAAACATGTTGCTTTACCAGTTGAATAGAGCGAGCAGAGAAAGAGATCAGATTCAGCTCAGAGGACTGGGCTTCTTGATGATAACATGAACCTCTACAGACTCTCAGACCTCTCATTTCCATTACAAAAGTATTCATTAGAATGAACTCTAGTTGTGATGTGTGTATGAAAAATGACACATTATTTGTCCCACTCATGGTGGTGCTCCATTTTCACACTGATGATCGCACACTGCGCCTGTGGTGCGTTTGCAGGCATGCACAGAGATGAATCTGTGCTATGAGAGCAACAATGTGACGGACATGTTCCCCCCCATGGCCTTCACTGAGACGGACCGAGAGCGGTACTGCTCCCAACGCTGGGCCGTGCTGCCCCGGCCCGGCTGGCTCAAGACCCAGTTCTGGGGAGACGGTGAGCCCTGAACACTGGTACACTGATGGCATGGAATCTAGAAATGAACTGTTAAAATGAAACACAAATACAAAGGAGCTTTATTGGCATGACTACATCAAAAACATATTGCCAAAGCATGCCACACAAGGTGTTACAACAAAACAAAAAAAGAACTAAACATGTCAACGATACATGTGGCAAAACACTGTGTGTGGAGATTGTTCTTGAAACACTGCAGCTGTCCCCCACACACATCACCAATGGGCTCAGGTGTGTGTGGTCCCTGCCACAGGGGCTGTTATCACAAATGACCTGTGGCAGTTTAGTGGAGCAGAAACGGACGCAGTAGAGACCTTTGTTGTTTTTCATAGAACAAAGGAGTACGTTCAGCAGGAACGGCTGTGCAGGCGTTGCTCAGCACACCGTGGTGAGTTGTCACAAATACTCCATCTTGAATCGGTTACGTAGAAGATGTTTTGGGTCAAGCAGTAGAACTTCAAATGACCATGAACATTTTTGTTTATAGTTTATAGATTTTTTGGATTAAGAAGAGGAAGTAGATCTGATGTTGAGTTCTTTTTTAACAAGGTTATTTATCTTTTTGTGACATCAGACCAAAGCTAATATGCCAGGTAACATTTTTATAAGTTTATTATAATAAACTTTATTTATTGCACCTTTCAGACCACGGCACATAAAGTCAGATTGCTCAGAGCAAGGCCTCTCAGGGTTTTGTAATTAAGCAATACAATGTTAAATGACTATTTTCCACTGTGTTAAAATCCAGGCAGCTGAGGTTTGGATAAAATGGAAGAGGGAGAGATTTCTACTGATGTCAGGGAGCAGGGGATTACAGTGTTATCTAATCTACAGGGCCCAGGAGTTCAACACTTTTAATCTCAATCAGAGCCGATCAGATTTTGAAATCCCATTTGTTGTGATTCAGGATCAGACAAGTCGGACAGATTCTGTCCCTGGAGTTCAAAGCAATTCAGGATAGGATCACCCTGATCCAGATTACGACATTTCAAGATGACTAGATCCTGAATATCAGTGCTTTAATCCTACTGAGCGCCATCTAGTGGATATGAAAAATAATACATGGAAGACAACAGACCACATTGCAGAGACATCTATAATGTCTAATTATATTTTTAAATACATAAAGGACATCAAATCAATCCAGGCGTGCTTTGAGGTGCTGAATTCTTAGTGAGGTTTCAGTTTGCTGAAGCCGGCACAGCTGTATTTGTTCTTTGGCCAGACGGATCATCCCTCTCCGTGTCACGGCTCAGCAGAGTCTCGTAGGCATCGTCCCTCTCCGTGTCACGGCTCAGCAGAGTCTCGTAGGCATCGTCCCTCTCCGTGTCACGGCTCAGCAGAGTCTCGTAGGCATCGTCCCTCTCCGGGTCACGGCTCAGCAGAGTCTCGTAGGCATCGTCCCTCTCCGTGTCATGGCTCAGCAGAGTCTCGTAGGCATCGTCCCTCTCCGTGTCACGGCTCAGCAGAGTCTCGTAGGCATCGTCCCTCTCCGTGTCACGGCTCAGCAGAGTCTCGTAGGCATCGTCCCTCTCCGTGTCACGGCTCAGCAGAGTCTCGTAGGCATCGTCCCTCTCCGTGTCACGGCTCAGCAGAGTCTCGTAGGCATCGTCCCTCTCCGTGTCACGGCTCAGCAGAGTCTCGTAGGCATCGTCCCTCTCCGTGTCACGGCTCAGCAGAGTCTCGTAGGCATCGTCCCTCTCCGTGTCACGGCTCAGCAGAGTCTCGTAGGCATCGTCCCTCTCCGTGTCACGGCTCAGCAGAGTCTCGTAGGCATCGTCCCTCTCCGTGTCACGACTCAGCAGAGTCTCGTAGGCATCGTCCCTCTCCGGGTCACGGCTCAGCAGAGTCTCGTAGGCATCGTCCCTCTCCGTGTCACGGCTCAGCAGAGTCTCGTAGGCATCGTCCCTCTCCGGGTCACGGCTCAGCAGAGTCTCGTAGGCATCATCCCTCTCCGTGTCACGGCTCAGCAGAGTCTCGTAGGCATCGTCCCTCTCCGGGTCACGGCTCAGCAGAGTCTCGTAGGCATCGTCCCTCTCCGTGTCACGGCTCAGCAGAGTCTCGTAGGCATCGTCCCTCTCCGTGTCACGGCTCAGCAGAGTCTCGTAGGCATCGTCCCTCTCCGGGTCACGGCTCAGCAGAGTCTCGTAGGCATCGTCCCTCTCCGTGTCACGGCTCAGCAGAGTCTCGTAGGCATCGTCCCTCTCCGGGTCACGGCTCAGCAGAGTCTCGTAGGCATCGTCCCTCTCCGGGTCACGGCTCAGCAGAGTCTCGTAGGCATCGTCCCTCTCCGGGTCACGGCTCAGCAGAGTCTCGTAGGCATCGTCCCTCTCCGTGTCACGGCTCAGCAGAGTCTCGTAGGCATCGTCCCTCTGCTCTGGTTTTCTGGTGCGCTTGCATTTTCTCTTTGGAGGTGGCTCTTGCAGTGTGTCATCAGGCCTGGCTGAAGCTTCTGGATCCACATGGGTCAGGAGGACCTCATCTTCAATGGTGTGTGTCACATCAGGTGCAGTGACGACCTGAAATGAAAGTTTATCAATATACCCCTTAATAAGATGATCACAAGCATGCAAGCTCCTGGAAAATGGTAGTACTATAAGAACAAGGATGCTACAGTATATAAGACATATAGCCATTGTAGTACTATCACACATACCTGCAACTCACCATCCAGTACAACGTTTGGTATTCCATGTAAAGATTGTGACTGCTGACCACCAATGATATCCAGTACCACATCTGTGTATTGTCCCCTTTTATATGCTTTGTTACCCGTCTGTGGGTTTTTAGCCTGGCTGTGGTCTTTGGTAGCTTGCTGCTTCAAATTCTTCCACCTCAACCTCACTTGGTCCACCGGCCTCTTGTGTCCAGATCCTGTGGCATTCACATTGTCTGTAACTTCCATCCATGTTCCGCTCTTCACTTCAGTCGCTCCACCCTCTCTGTTAAAGCTACCAACTATGGAGTCATAATTGTTCCTTACACCCTGCAGCAGTGCATGGGTCTCAGCAGATGTCAAATAAGGCCCCTTTTGTCCATCTTTCCAACTCACTCACAAACGTGACGGAAAAATAAAATGTATTTGCCATGAAGGCTAAAAATTGTGCATTATTTCAGTTAACAAACTTTGCCATCTTATTTATATTGAAACATATTTTTAAATAAATTGTACAGTACATTTTGCTCTGGTAATCCACCGTGTGTGTGTGTGTGTGTGTGTGTGTGTGTGTGTGTGTGTGTGTGTGTGTGTGTGTGTGTGTGTGTGTGTGTGTGTGTGTGTGTGTGTGTGTGTGTGTGTGTGTGTGTGTGTGTGTGTGTGTGTGTGTGTGTGTGTGTGTGTGTGTGTGTGTGTGTGTGTGTGTGTGTGTGTGTGTGTGTGTGTGTGTGTGTGTGTGTGTGTGTGTGTGTGTGTGTGTGTGTGTGTGTGTGTGTGTGTGTGTATGTGTAGCCCTCTCCACAGCCAGCAACATTATCTTCTCCAATGGAGATCTGGACCCATGGGCCAACGGAGGGGTAAGAGATGAAATCAACATATGCTGCTGCAACGCAAACATTTCCCAAATTGGGATCAATAAAGAACTTCTTATCTTAAGTCAGCACTGCAATCTGTGCAGCGCTGCGTTCAGTCTGACCCAATCATCTCTCTTGTTTAGGTGCGCCGGTCCCTGAGCTCATCATTGGTAGCTGTGAACATTTCTGAAGGCGCCCATCATCTGGATCTCAGGTGGAGCCAGCGGGTCCCTGCACACATCCTGACTCTTTAACCCTGAAATCAATCTAATGGCCTTTATCTGTTGTTTCATGCAGAGCATCTAATGCTGCAGATCCTGTGTCAGTGATCAGTGCCAGGAAGACAGAAGCCCAGCTCATCGCTCAGTGGGTGGAGCAGGAGCGGCTCAGATCACAGCGCTCACTTTAAAGCTCTACATGGCTTTGGAACACGCAGAGTTCACCCTGGAATCGAGCCGACATGGAGGGAAATAATGGACTTTACAATGCACACCATGATTGGATGAGCATGTCAAACAGCTTGTGTAACATTTTGTAACTCGAACATGTTTTCCAAATGCAATAGCATTACAAAGTTTGAGTTTCAAGATCCAAACATTTAGATGATTGGATCTGCAGCCTCCCCTCACACACCAGCTGTATGCTCCGTTTCTATCCCAGGGCACCAAACACGTAAAGCACATGAGTTCAACACAAATATTCTGTTCAATAAAATCTCTTTAATTTCTACAATTTTTACTCATTTAAAGCCGATCCAGAGTTTATCATTCACCATGTGACAATAAAAACCAACACAAATATAAAACATGTTTGAGTGCAGCGTGGCACAGCCTCCACTTAAAGCAGTCTGTCTCAAACAGAAGTGACGCAGTCAATGATTTCAAACCCCACAGACCCTTATCAAAAGCACTGGAAATAGTTTGACCTGAAACAGAAGCTGCTTTGTAGAAATGGCTTCAATTATCAAACACTAGGTTGATATGTTCAGCATGTTTGGCTCAGGAATGATGCTGAAAACATCTAGGGAGGGGTCCGAGCCTCTTCAGGCAGGACGTACACTGCTGGAGATGAGCTTTCTGTAAACCTAAAGATTGCTTTGAGGGACTGCTGAAAAAATAGAAACCCTTACTTTATTATTCCATCGTAAAAATAGTCATATTTGCATTATGATCACACTGTGGCTAACCAGCAACGGATGCACATGTTCATAGTAGACTGAATGGATAGAAATACACATCAGCAAGTCAACAGTTGTATTTTGAAGGCACATGTGAAACAATACCAAGGAGAATACACAGAATACACAAGATGAGTTTGGTCTTAAACAGAATAGAGCTATGATGTAAACTATTAGTATTCACAGGAATGAATGCAGCTGCTGTGAGGTTGCTACTTTGAAAACACAAAAGAGCTGACTGTATTAAGAGGATCGCACGCTACATTTCTATTTTAAATTAATTGCTATCACTTCAAAGAGAATCAGAGGAATGTCACACCATACCAAGAAAAACAGAAGGAGAAATGGAACAATCAGTGAAAAGAGCAGCTTCTCAGAAAAATGATGCTTATAACTCATTGCTATCCTCACAAAAGACAAGCTTCACTAGTAAATCTGCTGCTTAGCAACAACTGAAATCATAACAAAGTCAGTCCCGAGTACAGATCAATGATGCATTCATGCCAAATGGGAATTATACGATTGCAAGAAGTTATTAATAACTTGCCACACACACACACACACACACACACACACACACACACACACACACACACACACACACACACACACACACACACACACACACCTTTTCCAACCTTGATTATCAAAGGTTACATGTCAGAGTTTAAGGACCTGCATGGCCCCAGACTCTGCTGAGCAGATGTCCACCATGTTGCGTTCATGAACAGTAGCTCTGCCTGGCCTGCCAGTCAGGGTCCACCAATCATGTCGGGCATTGGGAAAACTGCTGGGTTGCCAGGTTGCAAAGATAAAAAAGCGTTGCTTGGGCGTTGAGGCATGTAAGTGTGTTACAGTATTGTGTGCTTTCACTGAAGTTTACGATCTGAATGCTGCTTCCAGCATGACATACGATCATCTCTGACAAACGGAGAAATATTATCTTGATATCCCTTGACCCTGCAGACTTGAAGTCAGTGTCCTCCACAAACTAAACTGAATGCTACTCCTTGAGTTGCACTGTTCTAGGATGGAACTTTTATGCAGTAAAGTCACATCTCCTGTATGACATGAATGCAGCATGGGAAAGCGAATACTGGGCTGAGCGAGCACCGAGGGCATCTGAGGATAGTCATAGCCAGACAGAATGACTATATGACACAGTGTGATGGACTCATTAGCTTTGTCTTGCAGCCCTGCAGGAGTCACAGCAGTACAGAGCTGTGACAGAGGGCAGCAGCAGACACACAGGAGGCTTCAGGTCAGTAACCGTCTGCTGACCTCAGCACCGGGTTGCACCCCCATGGCAGATGCGAGCTTAAGAAACCATTTCACTGGATACAATGCAGGGGATAAATACAACATGTTTTTTTCCCCGACATAACATGTACATTTGTGTTTGAAGTTATGTGCACAGCTGTAAGCAATGAACAGCTTCAAACTGGAAATCTCAGTATCAGCCATCCAACACCTCCATGTGTTCAAGACATCTTTGATTCACGTCACAATCAGGTTTCTCTTTAACGCAGATGGTAGAGGACGGAAACCTTCCTCTGCTTCATCAGCATACACTCACTACCAGAGTCCATGCAACAAAATCCACCAGTGAATAATAAACCAGTCTACACGTTGACCCCGGCTCCTCTTCACACAGAGAGGAAACCATTGATGGAATCAGTAACGGAGACGCTCCCTCTGGTGTGTGCTTGTCATTCAGTCACAGAGATAGGAGTTATCTTGGTGTTCGACCAACCCTGAGATGTGTTCAGTTTCTACAGGCAGTTCTATCGGCCATTTCAATTCCTGGGTATGTTTGTGTCAGGCTGTGGAGGGCCATATAGGCAGGGGGTGAGCTTCAGTGTTGAACACATACTCGTCCAGACTGATGAGGCTGGGATCGTCTGAGAAAAGCAGGTACAGATACTTCAGGGTCTCTCCCAGGAAGAAGCTCTCCATCTTGTCTCGAGGGCTGGTGTAGTCCGGGTCACGGACGTTGTTGATGGAGGTGTAGCCCCCGGAGGAAACCTGAGGGGAAACAGAAGCAGATTCAGCTGCTATCCGTATGTAGGAACGCCCTTTAATACAAATTGCATTATGCATACACAATGTGTAGTGGTGCACCTTTATCTCATTCATATTTCTGACACATATTTAGCCAAGCATGTAGATGAACAGTTTACTTTATATAGCTTTCTTAATCATTTATAGACAATAAAGAAACTGATACTTTTGTTGATGTTTAAAAGTTCAGTCTTGGTGGACAACAATCCCAACACTCCATATATTTGGAATAGAAATGCACTAACATCAACATATGAACAGACAAGTAACCTTCCAATTTTACATTTGAATGATTCCTTTTGAATGTGTTTGATGTATGCTGAACGTGGCTGTTACATCATTTAACAGTTTACAGATGAGGTCATTTTGTCCCGCAGAAGCCCATCTGAGATATCATTTTGATGGGGACAGAGGAGTGAAGGTCATGTCACTTACCTTGGTGTACTTGTTAAAGTTCTGCAGAATGTTCCAGCCCCAGTCCTGGTACTTGTGGTCCTTGGTGAACCTGTACAGGTAGAAGAGGCTCTCCACTGTCTCCGGCCGCAGGAGGTTGTGCCTATCTGCAAGCTATCATCACAGTCAATACAACACACTGAATCAACATCCGAGTACAAACACACTGCTTCATATTGCTTATTGTCACACTTCACTGATTTCATGCCTTTTGACTCTACAATGGTTCTCTTAAAATCCACAAGACAATTAGTGGTTGAACGATGGCAAGATTGAAGGTCACCATGACTTTCTTCCCTGAGACTTTAGGCAGTGATGAAGAGGAATTCATCCAGAATCACACAAAATGAGTTTGTAGAGGACATCGCTGCATGTTAGGATGAGACCCTCTGATCCACTCCTGCAGCTCCGTCTCTCTCTACCTTTACGTCGATGTCTCGGATGCTGCCCTCATGCATGTTGAAGTGGACGATCTCTGGACTGAGGCCCGTCTCCATCTGGATGTACATCTGGTAGCAGGTCTCCATCAGCTGTTTGGCCAGATCCATGTGATCAGCAGGGAGGCCGTGGTGGGCCCCCAGAGCCAGCGTGCCCGGCAGGAAACACACCAGATGGTCCTGAAAAACAAAGAGTACACACAAAGACAGTTAACAGGAAGCTGTGTGTACACATTCTGTCACGTCTCCACATCAAAAAAAAAAAAAAATGATGAATTGTATAATTGATAAACTTCATCCCAGCAGTCTTAGATCATCAAATATCTGGATCTATTAGATACATTTCAAAATTGACTGTAGCAATATTTATTACAATAATGTACTGTTCCAGGGTCTATGCAGGAATCCTGAAGTCACATGGAAGACCTTTCAAGAGCTTTTTTAAGACCCTTTCCATACATTTTAAAACCTCATCGCCACTTGGAGTTTTAACCGGTTACCTTGGCGACACACTTTACCTCACATTTACTAAATACAGTATTGATTGTCCTTCCTCCTTATCTTCCAACCGTTTGGACGCAGACTTGCATTTCCCCATAACGATGTTGTTTAACAACCGGCGTAAACGGACCTTCGCGCTATCAAGCAGTGAGCGTGCGATGTCCTGTTCAGATTACGTAAAATCCAACGTGATGCCATCAATAAACTACACAGAATCACACTACACACCTACGCAATGATGACATTCAGGCAGACTGTAGAACACAACCTCTTTGGACCATTTATATACTTATTGGAAACAAGCTACAAAATGTAAAACCTTGGAAAATGCCCTTTAATACTTTTTAATAGCCTTCATTTTCGCTAAATTGATTTATCAACTCTTAATACTTTAAGACCCCGCGGACACCCTGAGTACATATCCCGTCAGAGATAAGCAGTATTTCTGTAAGTGCACAGTACAGTGAAGGAAATAAGTATTTGATCCCTTGCCGATTTTGTAAGTTTACCCACTTACAAATAAATGAACAGTCTATAATTTGAATGGTAGATTTATTTTATTAATGAGGGACAGAATATCAAAAAGAATAATCAGAAATGTATATCAAATAACAGATATACATTTATTTGCATTTAATTGTGTGAAATAAGTATTTGATCCCCTTGAAACCAACAAGGATTATGGCTCCCACAGACCAGTTACAAAAATCCTCTTCCTTTAAGCAAGTACTCCTAATATCAACTAGTTACCTGTATAAAAGACACCTGTCCACAGAATTAATCAATCAGATTCCAACCTCTCCACCATGGGCAATGACTAAAGAGCTGTCTAAAGACCTCAGGGACCAGACTGTAGACCTGCACCAGGCTGGGACTGGCTACAAGACCATCAGAAAGCAGCTTGGTGAGAATGAGACAACTCTTGGTGCCATTATTCAGGAATGGAAGAAACACAAAATGAGCATCAGTCGCCCTCGGGCTGGGGCTCCACACAAGATCTGGCCTCGTGGGGTTTGATGATCATGAGAAAGGTGAGGGATCAGAACTACACGGCAGCTGGGAGCACAGTCACCAAGAAAACTATTGGTATCACACTACACCATAATGGATCAAATCCTGCAGCGTCTGAAGGCCCCCTGCTCAAGAGGAACATGAGAGGCCCGTTTAAAGTTTGACAATGAACATCTGAAGGACTCAGAGAAGGCTTGGGAGAAGAGGATGTGATCAGATGAGACCAACATCGACATCTTTGGCATCAACTCGACACGCCGTGTTAGAGGAAGAGAGATGCTGACTATAACCCCAGAACACCATCCGTCTGACGGGGGGTCAGCATGGAGGTGGAAACATTCTGCTTTGGGGTGTTTCTCTGCTAAGGGGACAGGACCACTTCCCTGCATCGAGGACAGGATGGACGGGGCCATGTACCATACAATCTTGGCCGATAGCCTCCTTCCCTCAGCCAGGACTCTGAACATGGGTCATGGAGGGGTCTTCCAGCAGGACAATGACCCTGAACATACGGCCAAGGCAACACAGGAGTGGCTAAAGAAGAGGCCTAGCCAGTCTCCAGACCTTAATCCTGGCTGGTCTACCTGCATGTGCCATCCGACTTCTGCAGCTCATCCAGAATGCAGCTGCTCGCCTGGTCTTCAACCTTCCTAAATTCTCCCACACCACGCCGCTCCTCCGCTCCCTTCACTGGCTTCTGATAACTGCTAGAATCCACTTCAAGACAATGGTACTTGCGTACCATGCTGTGAATGGATCTGGCCCTTCGTACATCCAGGACATGGTTAAACTGTACACCCCAGCACGTGCACTCCGCTCTGCATCAACCAAACGGCTCGCTGCACCCGCACTGCGAGGGGGACCCAAGTTCCCATCAGCAAAAACACGTGGGTTTGCTATCCTGGCTCCAAGATGGTGGAATGAGCTCCCCATTGACATCAGGACAGCAGATAGCTTACACACCTTCCGGCGCAGACTGAAAACTCATCTCTTTCGACTCCACTTCGAGCGATAGAACTATTAACAAAGCACTTATATACTAATAAAGGACTGGCTTATCTAAAGCCAGTTGAGTAGCACTTGAAATGTTTTTGCTCTATGAAACCTGATGTACTTATATGATTCTGTTTTCTTCAAGTTTGTATTTTGTTGGTCGAACGCACTTATTGTAAGTCACTTTGGATAAAAGCGTCAGCTAAATGCAATGTAATGTAATGTTAATCCCATAGAAAATCTGTGGAGGGAGCTGAAGCTTCCAGAGGCCAAGCATCAGCCTCAAAACCTGAAGGGTTTGGAGAGGATCTTCAGAGAGGAGTGGACCAACATCCTTCCTGAGATGTTCACAAACCAGGTGACCAACTACAAGAAGCGTCTGACCTCTGTGTGTCCAACAAGGGTTTCTCCACCAAGTACTAACACATGTTTTGCAAGGGGATCAAATGCAAATAATTGTTTATCTTTTATATAATTTCCATTTCTGGATTTTCTTTTTGATATTCTTACTCTCACTGTTAAAATAAACCAATTATAGACTATTCATTTATTTGTAATTGGGCAAACTCACAAAATCTGCAAATAATTATTTCCTTTACTGTATTTCAGCAGTGCAAGCTTGATTATCGGTCAACAGGAGGGCATTTTAATAATAATTTGCACTCGACAGGGTAACAGATGGTGCACACCAAAAGCAAAAAGAGAACAGAGCAGCAGGATAACCTTGAGGACATTTCTGAATATTACTGACCATCTTCGGGCTGAACTGTCCATGTGAAAGTTCTCCAACAAAGGTGAGGCCATTAGGGGAAGATTTCTGCAACAGATTCTTCTTCACACCCTCTATTGCCTGCACGTAGTCCTGCAAGAGCCTAACATAATGAAACACAGGGACATAGTTTATAAGGAGTACATTTTGAAACTCTTTGCATGAAAGGGCAATGTCAACAAACTGCACAGTGAATGTTGAAAGACTGATGGGAAACTGAATGGCTGGCTTTAAAAGTGGAATACCAGAAATGTGTTTTACAGTGTACTAATTAGCTCATCTCAATCTCAGTTTGCCCTGTATTAGAGGTTGCCATGGGGATGGTAACTGCTCAGTGAGGTTCAGAGTTATGAACAACAGACATTATGCTGAGGCCACCGCTCGTACTTTACGTAAAACATGGCTGCACCAGGATATATATCTGACATTAATGTTTCCTTTGATGGCTCCAGGACAGTTGTGGCCAACAAGGATCGCACCGAGAGCTTCACCATGAGCCTGAGTCTTCATCATGTCTTCATCATGAGCCTGAGTCTTCATCATGTCTTCACCATGAGCCTGAGTCTTCATCACGTCTTCATCATGAGTCTGAGTCTTCATCATGTCTTCATCATGAGCCTGAGTCTTGATCATGTCTTCATCATGAGCCTGAGTCTTCATCATGTCTTCACCATGAGTCTGAGTCTTGATCATGTCTTCATCATGAGCCTGAGTCTTCATCATGAGTCTTCATCATGTCTTCATCATGAGCCTGAGTCTTCATCATGTCTTCACCATGAGCCTGAGTCTTGATCATGTCTTCATCATGAGCCTGAGTCTTCATCATGAGTCTTCATCATGTCTTCATCATGAGCCTGAGTCTTGATCATGTCTTCATCATGAGCCTGAGTCTTCATCATGTCTTCACCATGAGCCTGAGTCTTCATCATGTCTTCATCATGAGCCTGAGTCTTCATCATGTCTTCACCATGAGCCTGAGTCTTCATCATGTCTTCACCATGAGCCTGAGTCTTGATCATGTCTTCATCATGAGCCTGAGTCTTCATCATGTCTTCACCATGAGCCTGAGTCTTCATCATGTCTTCATCATGAGCCTGAGTCTTCATCATGTCTTCACCATGAGCCTGAGTCTTGATCATGTCTTCATCATGAGCCTGAGTCTTCATCATGAGTCTTCATCATGTCTTCATCATGAGCCTGAGTCTTGATCATGTCTTCATCATGAGCCTGAGTCTTCATCATGTCTTCACCATGAGCCTGAGTCTTCATCATGTCTTCATCATGAGCCTGAGTCTTCATCATGTCTTCATCATGAGCCTGAGTCTTCATCATGTCTTCACCATGAGCCTGAGTCTTCATCATGTCTTCATCATGAGCCTGAGTCTTCATCATGTCTTCACCATGAGCCTGAGTCTTCACCATGAGCCTTCATCATGTCTTCATCATGAGTCTGAGTCTTCATCATGAGTCTGAGTCTTCATCATGTCTTCATCATGAGCCTGAGCCTTCATCATGTCTTCATCATGAGTCTTCATCATGAGCCTGAGTCTTCATCATGAGCCTGAGTCTTAATCATGAGTCTTCATCATGAGTCTGAGTCTTCATCATGTCTTCATCATGAGCCTGAGTCTTAATCATGAGTCTTCATCATGTCTTCACCATGAGCCTGAGTCTTAATCATGAGTCTTCATCATGAGCCTGAGTCTTCATCATGTCTTCATCATGAGCCTGAGTCTTAATCATGAGTCTTCATCATGAGCCTGAGTCTTCATCATGTCTTCATCATGAGCCTGAGTCTTCATCAACCCCTCTGTGAAACTTTAACGTAAAATGAAAAAGACATGCAGTGATATAAAGGCTGATTCTCAGTTCCTCTGCTTCATCCTCATCAATGAGGTAGGTACTCAGGGTTCACAATTCTGCTGCTCTAAGCCCTGCAGTGATAAGCAGAGCCTCTGGCAGTCAGGAAATATGAGGAAGAACAACAGATACAGATGGGACTACAGTTCTATGAATCCTTGGTGTCCTCTAGGATTCTCAGTCACATGTAATGTTGTGGTACCGTGGAAAGATTCTGAAGGAATGTCTATGCGAATGACACTGATACTTTTACCTGGACATGCTCATCTGAGGTCACATGTGACTGGTATGTTTGATATGAATACATAATTGGGCAACCAGAAGATATTCAGGGTTAAGCGCTGCCCCTGGTATATATATCCAGCATTAATAGAAGAGTACACTTCTGCTCACCTCAGAATGTTTCCTTCTGGTTATAATCTGGTTCAAAATGATACGCTGTAACTGTCCTTCTGTGGTGAAAGCCACTACAGATATACCTCATTGCTAACTACTCTTTGTTTGGCAAATCTGAAAAAAAAATGACAAAATCATTGCTTTTCGACAACAGCCTTTAGATCCCCCATCACTGCATGTCTAATTAGTAGGGGTGTTGAAAATAATCGTTTCTACGATGCATTGCGATGCGGACATGGACGATTCGGTCTCGATGCAGTGACGGAAGATAATCGGTTATAGCGTAGTAACGTTGCGTCCTGATTTTCCGGCCGCGGCTTTACTATAACGTTTTTTTTTTCTGTCACTTTAATATCAAATCGGTCGGTGACGCAGAGATCAGGGAACAGACGTGACAGCGGCACAGCAACACCAAACACGGAGCAGTCTGCTTTATCCACCAACACAAGAACACCAGTCCAGAACCAACAGCAGAAGGACTCGCTCTGAATCACTCCGTGTCGCTGCGGCACAGGGATTTATGTTTTTCAAAAATAATCGCGTTACAATCATGTCAGGTTTTTGGTGGATTTAATTAAGTCTTGGATTGCAAAGTATGAATGTCCTCTAGCAATTTTCAGACGATATATACGTGTGTAAAGTTCGTGAAGGCAGGAGGAAAAAAGCTTCCGCGATCACCGTCTCCTCTCCGTTCCTCCAAGCCCCGCCCCCCCCTGAAAATAATGAGTGACAGGCTGATAGTGACCCGATAGAAACGTTATTATTCACTTAATCACTGAGATATAATGAAGCTAACTTAATCTCATACATTCATGGGATTTATGTAACAGTAAGACAGAGAATGTAAGTGTGCACCCACATGCAGTATTTTTGTTGTTATATGCTGTTGTAAATACTCCTGTTGTCTGCTGTGTTCAGACTCAAGTCCTGTGTGTGATGCCACATTCAGGACATTCAGTGTCCTTTCTTTAACAGAAGACCGTTGCTAGAAGCTGCAGCTAGACTGCAGAAGCATTATTTTTTTGTTTTTGAGGATGGAACAACTTCACACACAGATATAGGGAGGCTAGACCTATACAATTCATTTATTTTGGTTTATAAATGAATGTCAAGACATTTATGTTATTGATTTCTGAAGCACTTTCTAAATAAAAAGAGAGTTCATATGTATTTACTGCATATATGCATTGATGAAAAATAAGCCATGTGCAGTAATATAGAAAATTGAGGATACAACGCATTGGTATGAATCGTGATGCATCGGGATATCGAATTGAATCGAATCGTTGACAGGATAATCGTAATCGAATCGAATCGTGAGACCAGTGAAGATGCACAGCCCTACTAATTAGTACTGTAAAGTTTCCACAAAGGCAGTGGATACAAGTGCATTCTAATATGGTCTTTGCGTGGAGACTTTTAAATCTACTGAACTAAAATGTACTGAATCAATAATACCTATGAAGGAAGGTAAACGTGTTTAAAATGCATATACTGTATGAACAGATCTTGAATCAGTAATTGGTAGGGTATAGGGTATAGGGTATGCCTACCATCTGTTTCTAAGCTGTGCAAAAGCTGAGTACGGCACTTTAATGGATTCATGTGAAAGTAAATCTAAGTATGTTTAGGCCCACTCACTGGTCCTCCTTCTTGCCCCCCTGGATCCACTGCTTCAGCAGGTATTCATAGTAGCTGTCTGCTCTGGCCCCCAGTGTGAAGATGCCTTGATGGGTGAACTGTCCGTTGTTCGTGTTGATGAACATGGGCACGAGACCATCCAGCTTTCCGTCCAGCTTGTGGACTTGTTTCATAACCTCAGCCACTGCATCCTGAAAATCCAAGATCAGAAGTCCGATTAGTTAGGAGGTTCTTCAAAAATGAAATACGTTTGAATATTGTAAGAATGACAAACTGAAATGTAATTAATTGTGCTTCTGAACACTTAATTACTACCCTTTTGGACAACAGTAAAATAACAGTAGTCCTCTAAAAAAAATTATTCCTGCTTTCTCAGAACTTTTAACTTGTGAATTAGCTTGGCTCCCAACGCAGGTACCATGTTGATACTAGTTATTGGGTTCGAATGAGGCCACAAAAGCAAAAACTGATATGGAACCCAGGAAATACTAATGCATACAAGTTCAAACTGGAAACAGATAAAGCACCCAATCTAAGAAAGTAAATCTACTATATAACAATAGTGAGACAAATGAGCTCCTCCTAGATCCTCAACACAGAGGGAGCAGAAACACGACCGCGCAACTTTAGCAAGAGTGTAAGGTTGCGCATCATTCAAAGAATCATGATACCAGAACCAGAACAGTCAACTGTGCAAGACCAATACCAAAAGAGTACTTCATTTGATATTTTTTTCCCATAAAACTCCCATTATGCGAAGGGCATCACTTAGTTGTGTTGAATAACAACGATTTTAACACAAATTATTTTTACAATAATGAAATTATTAAAAGAACATGGTTAATTTACATTTGATCGAAATCGCAAGAGGCGCAATATTTGCCAAATGCTAAATATGTGAAAATATCTAAATGAATCAAGTATTGTGGAGCTGCAGAAAAACGATACAAACGGTATTCTACAGACCAAACAAAAAGGCTGTTTTTGGTTTGACCCTCTTAAAGAAAAATAATAATAATCCCACCACGATCATGTTAATATAATTTCAATGATAGTATAAATATGTTTCAAAATGTATCATTCTCTCTAATATTGTAAATCAAATTGCAATTGCAATATCAGTCAAAATAATTGCGAATACTTTTTCTTCTCAATTGTGCAGTCCTTATAACTTTATAATGAAGTATAAACTTCCAACTATTAAATACTCGCCGCACCACAACACCGTGGCCCACCACAACACGGTGACCCACCACAACACGGTGGCCCACCGCAACACGGTGACCCACCGCAACACGGTGACCCACCGCAATACGGTGGCCCACCACAACACGGTGACCCACCAAAACACGGTGGCCCACCACAACACGGTGACCCACCACAACACGGTGGCCCACCACAACACGGTGGCCCACCACAACACGGTGGCCCACTACAGGGGGCCAATCAGAATGCTTGCGGTAATTGACTGCCCGGAAAACATTTCAAAAATTGTAATTTTTCTTTTTAAATCCCATTTAAAAAAGTGCAAGTATTGTATGACTGGAGACATTTCAATACTACTCGAAATTATTAACCCTTTAGAAACGTTTTATTTTTGACCACCTCAGACTCAGCTTTGTAGGTTACGGTGACACTTTGGTTCTTTGTTAGCTTCAGATGTAAAACATCTCGTACCAGTTGTGCATTAGGGAGAACAAAAAATATTACTTGAATAATCTGTGCAATAATCCTCAAACTGCCCAGTTCAGACTGCAAAGCAGTTTTAAAACAGCATGTGCAGATGGGAAGAGAAAGATCTAAGTTCTGGTTAGTGCAATAATGTCATGATGACCTCAAGTTGGGTCAGCAAGATTAATAATGGAAAGCTGAGCTAATGAAAAGGGCCAGCGTTTATGGGCGGACCCTGGATCAGCATGTAGTATCTGTGGGTCAGGTACCTGATACTGAGGGTCCTGGGTGAGGCGGCTGAGCTCTCTAAACTCCAGCTGGATGCTGGTGACCTCGGCCACAGTGCTGTCTGAGGTCCAGCGGGGAGGATGGGCTGTGCCTTTTCCGATATTGACATCAGAGTAGGGGATCTTTGACGGGGTGTTAAAGGCTGGCATCAGCCTGGAGCCGATGTCTTTCTGCAGAGAAACATGAAGATAACATCCAGGTATTTGCAGCTGAAGGCATTGAGTGTCACCCATGGCTAACTTTAATTAAAGTCAGCCAATTTAATTGTCTACGTACTTAGTTCAATAATCGGCATTAGAAAAAAACAAAGTTGGTGTTTTTCTGCATTCTTTAATGTGCTTAAAGAGCCTATGACACGAGTTTCCCCCATCATCCAAACCCATCAATTTGAGTAAATATTGTCCCCTTGAAAACCCGTTACTGAACTGATTTTGGATATTTGTACTTTGATAACCATTAATCTGCCCTTCAATGTTGACCATATCCTGGATCTTCTCAGGGATTCTTCAAGTCCCGCCAAATGATGTGTGACGTCATTGTGGGCACAGCGCTCCAGCTGCACCGTTCAGGATCCCAGCATCTGCATGTAAACGCACGATGGTGCACAGAGCAGCAAGCTCAGACAGCGATGACAGTTTAATTTTGAACGTGTCTGAGAGCAAATATGAGGCTGAAGGCTCGGTTTATGTTGTATCTGTTAGAAGTTTAGGAATTAGGTGCGTCAATATGGGCCATCATACGGTCATGTAGCCAGTGGTGGACTGGGACTAAAAATCATCCCGGGACTCTCGACCGGCCCACTTCGGTACCGCTAGTAAATTGTCAACGGGGGGAGTGGGGGATGTCAGGGGCGGCGGGTGCTGTAGATAGTACATGTAAATATGTAAATATTTGTGTCACTGCATCCTGGTAAAATACAAATATAATGTATAATGTATGTGTCTTTGACATTAGCGCTGCTAGCCACCTGTGCCCTGTACTACGAAGCCAGTTCAACAGACCCTGGCTATGTTTGAGTAACAAACAAACTAACAACAACAACAAACTAACAAACGAGATCTCGCTAAGCGGTCCTACGACGCTGGTTATCAACTAGGTAAATCAAGCCAGGGTTTCTCTCTCCAGCTGAGAGCGCGTTCACGTCTAAGACACGAGTGGATCTGACTTTAATTACATTTGACTCGAGTGTTTCGTCAACATAATGTGTTGCTTAAAATAATACTTCTGCATACAGTATGTGACACTGTGAGTGTTGCACGGCCAGATACGGCTGGAGAAGCTGACTCAGATAAGGAAATATATGATATATTGTGATATTATATGATCGATGATCTGATTGATGATGTAATATGAATGATAAATGCGACACGTCGGCGTCTTCTCTGCATACGGCAGTTTAAACTGTATTTCCTTTATCCTGTAATATGACTTGAGAGATTTAAACTCCGCACACTGAGTTGATCTCTTTTCTATAGACGCCGGAGGCGGGCAGCGTCAGGTAAAAAAAAGTTATTTAGCCTTCCCAAACCTGAGCCTCACGCGCCGCCTATGGGGATGTGCTAGTGACTTATCCGACCGGCCCACTTCGGTACCGGCCCATCGGGATTCGTCCCGATGGCCAGTCCGCCACTGCACCCAGCCCACGTAAACTGTCAACGGGGGAGCCTCGCTGCGGGGAAACGGTGGACCTAGTGTCCCGATCGGAGTGGGAATAATAATAATAATAATCCGTGCATTTTATCCATTAATTTCCCCAACATTGTGGTAAAAAAAACACACGTTTAATCCATGTTGGTGTACTACAACTACAAAAGCATCGGTTTGTTTTCTCGTCAGGAAATGCAGAAACAAACGATTTTTAATCCTCATCCTCACGATCATTTAATGTATCATATGTTCGCCGAATTGACATGAAAGCACTAATACATGTAGTTTCATCCACTTGAGTTTATAACTACAAAAATAATCGATTAGTTTTTATATCACATCCGACGGGAGGAAATTCAGCAGCTCTCAGTACCGATTTTTAATCCTAATGTAATCATCATCTTCACCACGATCATTTATGTTTATGTTCGCCGAATTGACATGAAAGCACTGACAAATATGAATATACTCTAATCAACTTCATTAAAACGTTATTAACGTGCCTAAACTCAGTAATTCACCATTTCTACGCATGACAACACACTTTGTCCGTGTTTGGCTCTCTCGCCGCACAGTGAAGCGTTCCCGCATTGACGTCACTTCCGGCTTCCCCCAAAACTTCAAAATGAGTCGAAGGAATTTCCCCGCGATGTTCGAAATTATTGATATTTAACGGAACGGTATCGCTTTTTCTTTTTTAAACTGACGGTTCGAGATTACTAGTAGCCCAATATTTCATTGCACAACAGTTGTTGGGATGCTATCACAGGCTCTTTAAAGGATGCTTGCCGTTGTGAAATGAGTACGCATGGTGGACTCACAGCTTTGTCCAGGAACATGGTGTCCCCCGTCAGATGGTAGGTACTCAGGAGGCCTCCCAGGATTCGGATGGTGCTTTCAAACAGGTTGACATCTACATTCTTGTTGAATGTGAGCTCTGTGGCCACCCACGTCCTTGCTTCTTCAAACTCTGTAACAAAACAATACACCATTTTGAGAATTAATAAAGAATCATTTGTGAACTCAACTGAAATGATTTGATGAAGTTAACAGGTACATACAGGCTCTCCATAGACAAATAAGATGGCTTTGCACATGAGGAAATTCCAAAGATTTGTATAAGAACCAGGTCTATAGCAGGTGATTTGAAATAAAGGTAGTATGTGTTAGGCAGTATACAGATAGTAGAAAGGTATCCAATACTCATTCTTTCAGTATGCTACAATATGAATGATGCGAACAGCAGGGTTTGTGTTTTTCAACTCCCAATTTTCAACCTTTCTAGCATACAGGAGATGAGTATTTAATCCTTAAAAGATGATTGGGTGGTTGTGGGGTTTATCTGTCAGCTTTGACTAGTGGACAGTAACATTTTAAAGTTGAAAGGCACAAAGCTCAGTCTACCTTCTTTAAGGCCAAGGATCCACATGGTGTCCAGGGCATCGATAAGCGTCAAACCCAAACCGAACCACTCGCTGTAGGACTTGGAGAGGGGCCGAAGCTCATCGTGGCCCCAAGCAAAGTCTTTATAACCCTGCCATGCATGTCTGAAAGCATCCTTCACAGCCTCCAACAAGCTAGCTTCTGAAACACACAACACACACAAGAGGCCTAGTTATTATCCCATCCCAGTCTACACAATCATTCAGAAACAAGTGTAAGAAATGTGCCATCTTTATTTAGATTATAATGATAATCTGAAGTTGATGTTTGAATTCATTGTCACCATTAGAAATGACTCCTATATCGTGATGGAAATGTTTTTCCTTTGTTAAATGTGATCAAGTGGGAAAACAAACAGCAGGTACCTGACTGGTTTGAAGATCCAGATTTATGGTTGGCAAGTAAATGATCCTTACTTTCCCCATCCTTGGCTTCTTCTGTGTCCTTATCAGTATCAACCACTGCACCTCGCCAGCTAAAAGGCACCAGAGGAATAACAGATCAATTATACAAATATGTAAACTAACTGTTAGTTGTGATCATACGCCAACACTCACCTGATGACCCCCTCTTCCTCCCCCTCTTCTTTCTTTTCCTCCACTGTGACTGTACCGTTGCCCTTCTTCTGAAGACGATTCTGAAGGATGGGCGGCCCTCTCTTGTTGGATAATTTCTTCTGTGACAAATGATGAAATTCAGTGTTTCCCATACTGTACATTGATTTATTTGTGGCGGGCCGCCACAATTAAATATGGTCCGCCACAAATGGATCTCATAAAAAAAAAATATATATATTATTATTTTATTTTATTTATTTATTTTTGGTGGTGGTCTAATGGATAGTGAGGTGGGCTGATGATCGGAAGGTTGCGAGTTCAAATCCTGCCTGGAACACCACTTGCCCTTGAGTAAGGCACTTAGCCCTCAGTTACTCCGGGGAGAATGTCCCTGTAATTGGTAATTTGGTATTTGTAAGTCGCTTTGGAATAAGGCGTCTGCTAAATGCCTAAATTGTAAATTATATTTTTGGGAGAATAAACCTCACAGATCCTCAACTCCGGTGTGTTTCACTCATTAACAACGCAACACAGAGCAACAAGAACGTTGTCTACAGTAGCCATTAACTCGCATGTATTATCTTATTTGAGGGGGGGTGGATGCGTGGGCCACCCGAACAGGTTAAGGGGCCTTTGGCTTTTCTTTTTTTTGTGCGGTGCCCCCACAAATAGAATCAAATTCTGTGGGAAACACTGAAATTAACAACTTATTTTGACCTTTGAAATCTTGAACTTCATTCAAGCAAGTTATTAAACAGAAAAAATGGATTCTGTGATGTAATTCAAAAAGGTACTAAGTGTACACATTTACTATGTATTTCACCAATTAATATGTTTATACCAGTACTTTTATTATCACAGTAGCAGAGTATTTCTCTATCAGGCGAGGGGGAAAATCAGCATGTTCAGTGTAGGGAATCAACTTGAAAAGATAAACAAAATGGTCAAGTGCTGATACCCAACTATCTGCTGCCAAAAGTGTTCAAACTAAATCATTTATTGTCAAATAGTGAAGCTCAAAACCCAGCCTGGATACATTTGAGCACAAACTCATATATCTACAAAGCAGTTTCTCAGGGTTAAAAATCACCTGAAAAGATTCACTTTTTTAAATGACGATCACCTTACAGGATCCTGTGACACAATCCAAATGAACATTGCAGGTGAAAACACTAAATAGCACAACATGTTCCAAGCCCTTTAGAAACCCTGTGGATGGTCAAAGAAACATAGAAACCTGGGAGCTTTGTTCTGGCTGTGGTTTGACAGGCTCCGGCAGCACTTGAGGGAAGATGGGCCTCAGGACGCTGTTACTCTCTGTGGAGCGCTCTCCATCTGTAAGGCCTCAACACACACACAAATATGTAGTACCAAAGTATTACAGGGCTGCTATAACATAGTTAAAGGGAAGACTTTTCACGTGGATTCATCTTCCTATTACAGACACATGCATTTCCAAACATTTGGACTACCTATGTTGTAAATGTATTATCTTTTTAATGTACACTATGTACATCTATTGCACGTCTGTCCGTCCTGGGAGAGGGATCCTCCTCTGTTGCTCTCCTCGAGGTTCCTCCAATTTAACTTGGGGGTTTGTTTGGAAGTTTTTCCATGTCCGATGTGAGGGAAGGACAGAGGGTGTCGTATTCATATTCTGTACAAACTATAAAGTCCACTGTGTGATATTGGGCTTTATAAATACACTTTGATTGATTGAAGACGACTGGCCTTATGATAACTAAAGGGCCAATGTTAAAACCCAACAGGCGCCTTTACAATAAGCTGACAGCATGCCAGTTGCTCAGACTCATGGGACATGTTGAATATATAAGAGTCTTACCTCTAAGGTGTTCAGTAACAGCAGGATAGGAAGCAATTCCACACATGAACAGGAAGAGGAGGATAAGGCTCCGTTGCAATCTGGAGAGCCGTTTCCATTTCTGCAGGCACACAGACAACAGAAAGATGGTGAAAAATGCCTACGTGTGCCCATTTCTGTCCAAGTACTGTGGTTCAAAATGTGCATCTGTTCTGGACCAAACAAGGAACCCACAGGTTTCATATTGATGTTGTGGCTTAATGGTGCTATAGAGTTCTGCGCAGGACAACACCAATGTTGTGCTGCTGTGGTGGCTTGATCAAGTGGGGAACAGCACTACTGAGAACTGAAGTCCTCTGCGCGTTCTGACAACACACCTTACGCTCCGCTGATGCAAAAGACAGCTAAATGCTATGCTCTGCTACTGCAACATTGTCTACTGGGACATATTGTTACTCATCCCTCCTTCACTTTGAGTTGTTATGACATGATGTGACCATTCAACACCACCATTAACATTAATGCATGTTCTGCCATGTCCTGGCTAGCACTGTGCAAAACCTTTGGTCACATAATATAACATTCAAATTAAGAGTGAAATTGCCCAGCTGCAGCTGAAATAAAGTTGTATCGAAGGTTATTTATTTGTGTTTTTACCAAACTCCACAAGGCCAACATTGCCATGTCCCTGCAGGAATACATAAAAGCAACTTATAGTTAATAAAGGTTTCCCAAAATCGCCAAGAAATCTGTCCGAGTTGTTTGTGTCTTCCCACTCCTACTTCTCTAAAACCTTGATTCAAAGGATAACAGTAATACCAGGGTGGGCTACATGAGCACTTGAAACCTAGGTGAAAGAACCGAAGACATGACTTCATGAGCTGCTCCATCACTCACCCTCCAGCAGGACTGCCTCCTCCACTGCTTTCCGTTATTGTAAGTTCCTTGTCCAGCAAGGCTTATAGATATATAGTCCTGTCGAGATGGTGGGTGCATGTCTGTAACACAGCCCTGGGGAACAGTTATTTGAGTCAGAGTGGTTATATTAACCCAGATCAGAGCAAGCTAGGAACAAGATGCAGCGTGCATGTGAGCCTGGCTGGTAAACATAGGTGTGGTTGTGATATCATTACAAATGTGCACAATATTGACGGATATAAAGAGGGCAGTTTATCCCGAATTGAACTTACTTTGCACACGTTTGGCTTTGCATTAATACGTTTTCACACCGACATAAATTGTTGTAACTTAATCGGAATAAATTCACAGCGCAACTAATAATGATTGCTCGCTTCGTTTAATTTGAGGGGAAATGTAAGCATAAATGTTACCTTAATTTACAGATTGCAACGGAGTTACCTGTCTAAGGACAGAGGGTGTCGTTTTCTCACACTGATATTCTGCACAAACTGTGCTGTTGTATTTGTTGTAAAGTGTCCTTATTGTAAAGTATTTTTACTGTATGTACAGCACTTTGGCTCGACCAAAAATTGTTTTAAAAATGTGCTATATAAATAAAACTTGATTTGATTGAAACCTGGCTGTGGTTCACTGTTATAACGTTACCGTTTCTATAAACGCCTATAAAACAAGCGCTAATCAACAGGCTGGTTTCATGGAAATGGATTACCTGGCCAAACGTACTGACTATCAATATACATAGCTTTTACGGACAGTACTGTCACCACATACTAACGTTAGGTTATTGCACCTTTCACAATTACAAAAGAGGAGCACACCGGTGTAACGTCAGCCCCGCTCTAGCGGCAACTTTAAACCCGCGTCAATTGCTCGAAGTAACATGTTGGCGGATTCACCGCCCAACTCTGGACCGAGGCATGAATTGAGGCCTAACACAACCGATAGCATGGGTAAACTGTCGAGCCCTCTTTAACTAACGATACATTTGAGACATATTTTAAATAAAGAACACAACGTGTTTGAATCACTATTTAATCGGCGTCAAATGTATAACCGACACTAGGTTACCTTGTATTCAGCATTGAGGGTTAAATGAGATGTGCAGCCTGTGTAATCCAGGACCAGGGGAACGGTAACCGCAGTAGACAACACTGCGGTTAGCTCGGAGGAAACGAGACAGTTTAGAGGATCTCTTAATGTGTAGAACACTTCACCGATGATACAAGAGAGCCACAAAGCAGCTAGTCCTTGTATTCATACGATAACAAAACCTAATATCATCCACTTGTAGCTTAGCATGTGATGTTGCTCACTGTCAACAAATGTGTGACGGTGCACTCAGGCTGCTTTCAAGTGTCCGCTATGGAAGCAAACAAGAGACAGAAGTATTTGAATTTTATCAGACACCGAATTTATAGCATTGAAAATAATTACTTTGAAAATCATGTATCTGAATATTTTTCCTCCGAATTTACCTATGTGAAATTAAAATGTAACAATTCGAATAGTCAAATTCAGATCCCAAAAATTCAAGTGAAAAAAATCGACGTCAAATATTTCGGTGTTTAACCTCTTAAGCCCCAAGCCTGTTTTTCAGGTTTCAGGCTCGAAAATGACATGCCCAAAACAAAGGACTATAACTTAACTTCTAAAAAGGGTTATATGAATAATTTCTTTTATCAAAGCAAGGTCACATCTGTGAGTTGGATGTAGAAGTGTCATAATCAATAAAGATGTTTCAGTGTCAGAGTAAATCCAGATGGAACATAGTCAAAAAGTGTACATTTTTGTCTCCGCCCAAATAAAACCCATTACTTATAGTGAAAACCACCCTTGAATGATGGGTTAGTAGCCTAAAAGCTTTAGGAATCCAAAGTATAACATATAATAAGTACCCTGTATCAAGATTGAGGCAAAACAAGTGAGAATTGACCTTTTTAGAGAGATTTAGCAAACAAAAGTCCAAGCGGACTAAGCTTTAGGCACATTTGGGTACATTTGGTTCCATCAGTGCCATTTAACCTTTTTCAGGTACCAGACTGTAAAAATCATTGTACAACATTTAATTATCACTATAGGTATTCATTCCATAAAAATAAAAATAAATTGTTAAAAAAATTAATAAAAATTAAGTGTGTGTGTGTGTGTGTGTGTGTGTGTGTGTGTGTGTGTGGTGTGTGTGTGTGGAGTGTGTGTGTGTGGAGTGTGTGGTGTGTGTGGGAAGTTCCCTCTTTGCATGAGATGCATGTTACTTGCACAATAAAAATGAGGAAACTTAGGAAACATTTGACTCCAACTGGAGCAGATTTATTAAAAAAAATTAGCAAACACACTATACAACAAGCATTTTTTGGGTAAAAAAAAAACTTTATACAAACCCTGAATGTTACAGTATTACTCCAGTAAGTCATGCCATGCCCTGTAAAAGTTATTTTTGGTAGTGAAGCACAGAGGGACCTGACACTTCCTGCAGTACACAGGTGTCTTCACTCTTCAGTTGCCAGCATCAGAGTACCTCCTGCAGTACCTCCTGACCTTGGTGGCATCTTCCCCATAATACTCGGGCATCCAGAAGCCATATCCTCATCGCCTTCCTCACTGTGAAAACAAATGTGGAAAAAACAAATCGATTAATTCTCTGGCTTGTACTTTCAAAAATGTAACTCAAATCAGAAATAATTTCTCTACAACAACAGCAGAACATCAATTTTGAGTGTGTGAAATAACATTATATCACTCAAAATGTATACCGTGTAAATTATGTGAGACGGGGTTCATATAATCTGTTCAATATTTAATATTAATATTCTGTCTGTCATATATATGTGTATGTATATATATGTATGTATATATATGTATGTATATATATATATATATATGTATGTATATATATGTATATGTATATATATATGTATACACGTGTGTATATATGTATATATGTGTATGTATATATATGTATGTATATGTATGTATATATATGTATGTATATATATATGTATATGTATATATGTATATATATTTCAACAACAAGAACAAGAAACGGCATCCATCTTCTTTGTTGTTGTTGAGTGTGTGAAAGAACATTATATCACAAGATGGATGCCGTCGTGTTATTGTCACGTGTGTGAAATTACGATAGATGAATACACTCTTACACCAAATAAATAACAAAAAGATAAAAACAGATGAATACTCTTACACCAAATAAATAAGTAATAGATACAAACAGAGATAATCCATACCTTTCCGGTGACGGAGGTTCATAATCAGAGTCATTACTGTCCCCTTCGTGCGTGACGAGATCACTATCTTCCGACGGAGAGTCCTGAAATACGATATCCAATGCCTCCTCGACGGACAAAAAAGTCTTCTTTCTGGCTGCCATTGCTACGATGAAGACAAAGAAAACAAATCCTGCTGTTTCGCTGATCGATCTGCCGTTCTCTGCTCTCCTGTCGCCGCGGGACATGCTATGCTACGCTATAGCCTAGTATGCAGCGTACAAAGACTGGGTCGTGCGTAAATCAGCTGATACTGCCTATATTTATACTTACGCAAACTCCTATCTCTGGAACCCATTGGTCGATTTGGGTGATTGACACCTTTTTTGAATCGTTAGAGCCAATCGAATCGAGTAGCAGTTTCAAATTACGTAAATACGTCATGCCTGCGGAGGGGCAGCTATGCGTAAAAAGCAGCTCCCGCAGCTGAATCCACGGACTGTTAATCGTTGGACCTACTCTTCTGCCGTGAATGAAAGGATTGATTCTCAGTAATCATTTTAAAGTGACAAGAGACATTGGATTAACCCTGAGCAGCGTTTTTATTCCTTTGAACACAACTTTTGATCACAAAACAGCCAAGGTAAGACCTAATTATTGTCAGGGATTTGAAAACTGATATTGTTTACTTGCTATGTTGTGGCTGCCAGCTCGGTTAATGTTGTGCCTGTAGTGATGGGGTGTACACCCATGGAATCTGTGGAATCTCAGCTTTCAGAAAATGTGTTGTTTGTGCGGAAAGGATGAATTATAAATGATCGTTTTTGTGAGTTATGAGCAGACATAGCAATTGCCCGTTTTTGACATGGGGTCATTTAGAGGCTTCTTGTGAGACTTATTTTTCGAAAAAAAAATGTGTTTTCGTATCGTCAGTAAGCCAAGTTTCCTCCGGTCAGATGGGTATGGAATATTAATAGTTTCATGAATGACACTTCAGATATAGCACTGTTGCTACATATATAGCATTTTCGGACCCGAGCTCGGGTCCGTGGGGCTTAAGAGGTTAAACTTCGATGTCCAAAATTGCGATGCAACATCATCCGGGCTACTGAGACAGGATAAGCAATCGAGCCTGAATGCAATCGAACCGATTTATGGCCCCGGGAGAAAAATGACGGAGAACAGTGGGGCTCGCCGCTCGGGTAAGTAGTCAGTTGTTTGTGCTCTTTATTTTACAAGCAGTGAGGGCTCGACAACATTTGTATCTTACATTAGCTAGCTAAATCAGTGAAGTAGCCTTGTGCCTTGCTGTTAGCAAGCTTATCATTAATTGAAGTGAATATGGGCATATGTCTCATAATTATTTGTGTGAACATAAAAATAATGTGTGTGTAAATATGTGATTTGTAAATGTAAAACACCATCCACAAATGCATTTAAAAGATTTGCAAACTCACAAATAAATTTGCAAGTGTAAAACGGATCTGCAAATACGCTAAATATTTTTCACAAATAAAAAAAAGATCTGTGAATATCTCTTTAACATTTACAACTTTCGATCAGGCATTTGTGAATCCATTTTGTATTTGTTGACCAAAAATGCGCTTGCGGGTCTCAAATCTCTGCTCGTGGATCTCAAATCTCTGCTCGTGGATCTCACATTTCTGCTTGTGGATCGTCTTTTTACACACACGGAATTTTGAGACATATTTTCCGCCGGTCTCTTGTAAAATATACTCGTGTCACTCGGTTATTTTCGGAAACCACTTGATGGCCTGCTGATGACAACATTTAGAATAGAATATAATTCCTTTATTGTCATCGCACCAGGTACAACGAAATTTAAAAAAGCAATCCTCGCAGTGCATTTCCACATACAACGAAAAAATAGATCTATATAAATATATACACACATAAACATATGCTCACACATCCATACCAACATGCATACATGCCCGCACATTATTTAAATACAGTTTACAATATAAAAACACAGGGATGATATTTTGCATCTCTGATGTCGATCAGTTAATAAGTTAATACAACTATTAAAAAGTAGTGCAGTTGCAAGTTGTAACTGTTCAGTTCAGCGTTTGACGGTGTTCAGTTCTCGTATGGCTCTGGGGTAGAAACTGTTTTTCAGTCGGTTTGTCCTTGATTGAATTGACCTGTAGCGTCTACCGGAGGGCAGAAGAGCAAACAGGAAGTGTCCAGGGTGTGAAGAGTCTGCAATTATTTTGCCTGCTCTGTTGAGGCAATGTTGGCTGAAGAGTTCCTCCAGAGAAGGCAGTGAGCAGCCGATGACCTTCTGGGCTGTGTTGATGACCCTCTGAAGGGCTTTCCTGTCCTTTTCTGAGCAGCTGGCACACCACGTGGTTAGGCAATATGCCAGCACACTCTCTATGGAGCAGCGGTAGAAAGACACCAGGAGCTTCTCCTCCAGGTTGTTTTCCCTGAGGATCCTCAGGAAGTGGAGTCGCTGCTGGGCCTTTTTCACAGATGTTGTGGTGTTGATAGACCAGGATAGATCTTCAGCAATGTGTGTGCCGAGGAACCTGAAGGCAGGAACCCTTTCCACACAGTTGCCGTTGATGTACAGTGGATCTGGTGTTGTGCTGTTTTTCCTGAAGTCTATAATGAGTTATTTTGTTTTTATGGAGTTCAGAACAAGGTTATTATCTGAACACCACACTGCCAGTCTCTGGACTTCATCCCTGTAGGCTGACTCATCTCCTCCTGTGATCAGTCCAACCACGGTTGTGTCGTCCGCGAACTTGACGATGGTGTTGGTGGGGTGAGTGCGGGCACAGTCATAGGTGTACAGGGAGTAGAGCATGGGGCTCAGCACACAGCCTTGTGGTGAACCGGTGCTGAGTGTGAGGGTGGAGGAGAGGTGAGGGCCTATTCTCACTGTCTGGGGGCGGTTAGTTAGGAAGTCCTTAATCCATTGGCAGATGTTTGGGGAAAATCCTAGGTCAGATAGCTTGGAAACCAATCTTCCCGGGATGACTGTATTAAAGGCAGAACTGTAATCAACAAAGAGCATCCTCACATAGCTCCCCTGGTGTTCAAGGTGGGACAGTGCACTGTGAAGGACAGTGCACTGTGAAGGAGCCCAGATAAAACTCTTTCTTCATTGTTTGTTGTGTATTCAGTCAAGCGGGTCAAAGTTACAATGTAAAATTGTAAGTACAATGTAAAGTCCTGTACTCTGCAGGTGCCGGTAAAGAGCAATACAATGACAAAACCTTTCCAAACAAAACAACTAGT